AGCAATGTTGCTTCTTTAGGCTACGTCCACACCAATGCGTTTTCGTTTGAAAACGCATCATTTTCTCTCCGTTTTGACACTGAGGCTACGTCCACACGTACACGGGTATTTTTGAAAACGGAGATTTTCCGTTAAAAAATAATCCCGTCCACACATAAACGCAGAAATGAAGGAAAACGCTGCTAGGAACATGCCAAAGCAACAGGTGGCGATATATTCCTAACCGTGTAGAAATGTTGGCCAATCAGAAGTCTAGAAGCCTCGGTAGGAAATAGTAAACAAAGCTGGGGCGTAGAAGCAGAACCAAGTCGTATGTGTGGAAGAACAGTAACTGTGTGTGTATGTGTAAGAATTTAAACACTGCAGACAGTACAATTAACAGTAACAGTATTGTAGAAATTCATTGCACCGAAACAATAACGTGGCGCACAGTGTGACATCAAAAAGGCGCACACCTTTGACGCTGCGTTTTCTCAGTTTTTCTCGTCCACAGTAAATGCAAAAACTGAGTTTTCGAAAATATCCACCCTGGCAGGCATTTTTAGAAATCTTCGTTTTCAGTGACCGAAAACGCAGTTTACGTGTCGACGAAAGGTGCAAACGCATAGAAAAATCTGCGTGTTCAAAAATACCCGGGTACGTGTGGACGTAGCCTGAGATGGCGTTTTCCCCAAGGAAAAACGCAGCAATTTGAAAACGCTCTCGAAAACGAATACATTTGAAGACGATGCGTTTGCGTCGCAGTGTGGACAGGGAAAACGGAGACTTTCTAGAAGGGTGACACATTTTAGTCATGTGATGCATCATGTGACCAATTAAACAATGATAGCGGAGGGCATTATACAGCAGTTGTTTTGTTTGCTCTCAATTTTGACAGCCCTATTAAAGATTAATATCAGTTTGTACATGCTCCAGATAGCTTTTCTTCAAATTATTTAATTCTTACTCGCTTTTGCAACTTTGCACTTTTGTGTTACTCGCAGCAACAATGTCACCTCATTGTGAGTCCATTTAAAAAACTCGTTGCTTTTCCTCAACCTTTTGCCGCCACGTTTCAACGATTCAAAGTAAATAAACGGCTGACAGAAATGAGGCAGGCCGAATCTTCTTGCGCTTCACACACGCTCAGTACTGGAACGTAAGTGTTTTCGGCCGTTTCAATGTGGACGCACAACTCTGTGAAAACAGCTGAAAACGCTAGTGTGGATGTGGAGCGTTTTCAGACGAAAACGCAGTTTTTTTAGTGTTTTGAGAGTTGGGGGTGTGGGTGTGGGGTGGGGAAGGGGGGCATTTTAGAAGATGCAGACATAAATTTTACTTTACTGGGGAAGGAAATGGAATCTGAATAATTTGCCTCAAAAAGTTGGATGACTCATCTGTAGTGACTGAACCTCACTGCAGCTATTCTGGTAAAAGAAAGCCACAGAGGCAGAGAAAAATATGGGGCAGTTGAGACTTGTGCTGAATGGGTATGGGATATATGTTCACACGATCATTTGGCTCTTAAAGGGTTCAGAAGTGTAAGGGTGAGTTCACTGGTGGCACAGAGGGTTTATCAAAGAATGTTTGAGATAGTATTTTTTAACATATGAAGAAGTATACCTGCAGACAAAGTTAATACGTGTAAAACTGGTGGATTACCCCTTTACAAAACCAATGTCTATTTAAAATAACCAATTAATATAAAAAATGACTTCTAGCAAAAGTTTAAATGCTAAGCCTGAGTTTTCTAGGTCATAAGAAAGAAATTAAAACCGTCCTATCAAAAATATAAACTAGAAAAGGAAGCTGCACACCTATTACATTGTATCTGACAAAAGAAGCTCCTACCAGTGTAATGTGTTACACTGTTTCCTGCCTGGCTGTAAGTGCCTTGAAGGTGTCTCAGATGGAGAAAAACAAACAAATATAGACCCCAAAATTACAAGCAAGTACATAACCATTAGAGCTGGGCGATAGAACGATAACGATATGTATCGCGATATAACTTTTACTCGATAGAGAAATTAAGCTATCGCGATAGACCTCGCCGCTCTTGTCCTCTTAAAATAAAAATAAAAAAATAAAAATAAAAAAAAAAGGTCAGCCAATCCAAACTAAGTAGCGCAGAGCCGAACCAATCACAGCCGCAGCGTCACGTCGCGTGACTTGTTACGTACAGCACAAGTGCCAAGCCGCATGTGTGTTTGTTTGGGAAGCAGCCAGCGGGTAATGGAGCCAGCGCCTAATGGAGGAAATGAGTGTGCCGACTAGAAAAATCAACCGAGCGTGACTGAAGAGAAAACAGATGATGGTTCCAACGCCGGAGAGATTGTCGAACGGAAGAGCCATAGAAGTTCCGTAGTGTGAAGGTATTTCGGCTATTTCAAGTCTGACAAAAAACAGAGTAGCATGCACTGTAAATTGTGCCGAAAGCAAGTCTGGAAATACAATAAACTGGTGCATGCGTCACACTGCGCGCCACGTTATTGTTTCGGTGAAATGAATTTCTACAATACTGTTACTGTTAATTCTACTCTCTGCAGTGTTTAAATGCTTACATATACACACAGTTACTGTCCGTCCACACATACGACTCGGTTCTGCTTCTATGCCCCAGCTTTGTTTACTTTTTCCCACCGAGGCTTCTAGACTTCTGATTGGCCAACATTTCTGCACGGTTAGGAATCTAGCTCCACCTGCTGCTTTGGCATGTTCCTAGCAGCGTTTTTCTTCATTTCTGCCTTTATGTGTGGACGGGATTATTTTTTTAAAACGAAAACGGAAAATCTCCGTTTTCAAAAATACCCGTGTACGCGTGGACGTAGCCTCAGTCTCTGACTGGAAGCGCTAATTCGTCATTCGGCTTTTGTCAGACTAAAGTAACTGTTAAAACTGTTTGAAAAGCTCAGCTATACAACAAGGAGAGATTGAGAATTTCCTTTTAGTTCTCAGTTTATTTGATATTGACAAAAGTTAGTCAGTTTTGTCTGTTCTTCTGTAAAACAAACTAAGATTTATTTTTAGAATTAATATTTTGTTTCTAAGTGGAATTGACAATTTAGTCTGTTTCATTTGTTCTATTTTGAAACTTAAACGCTTTAGCGGCTGCCTTTTGTGTAGTTTGCAATATTTGCCTTTATTTATCTGAAAAAGTCTCATGTTCCTTAAGTACATCTACCCTGTTGAACTTATTATGGGAAATAAATATTTAAATAAAAACAAGCTGCTGATTATTTCACATTTTACTTGTGAGCAACGGCACATTTAAATCTTACAAATATAGTTATTTGGCTTATATCGTGATAGATATCGTTATCGCCTGAAATGAAAAAAACATATCGTGATATGAAAAAATCTCATATCGCCCAGCTCTAATAACCATCCAAGGGTACACAAAGCCTGTTGAGATACAGTCTATCTTTTACAAAGGTCAAAGACAAGAAGTAACCTGAAATTTAAGAACAAACCAGAAAGAGGCACAGGTCAGGCTGCTCACTTGAAATCACAGCTGCTACAAATTACAAGCTTTGACTTGTGAAACAGTTGCCATAATCAGCCGTGTTGTGGTTGTAGCTGGAGACTGGGATGGACCAATCACAGATGGCAATTGGACGACAAAGAACAGGTTCAGGCACCAAAGCAGAGCAGCACACACTAATAGTTAACCACACATGGGAGGGAGCCCAGCAACCTGGAGTGGTAATACACCTTATATATAAAAGGGTTTATGTACCCTAAATGGTACTGTAAATGACAGAATGGTGCAGAATAGTGACATTAAAATAATAATGGTAGTGGTGCTTTTCCACATGTGCAAACAGTCCTATGCTTTCATTTGTATTGTTGCTTCACTGTGTTTAGACTCAGAGAGAACAAAATAGTTGTTGACCTGCAAAAGCCACTTTTTTCGTTCAAAAAAATGTTTATGGATCAATAAGTCAACTGATGAAGAATCACACCTATAAGCAGAATTGATACTGGGATTTTTGGATAAAATATCATCATTATTCATCCAAAAGTTTAGCAGACAGTGACAGTTTTAAGCGTGAAACTGAGCAGAAGGGTTACAGAGCTGCAGCTGCGAAGGGAACACACAACGTTGCCCGAGGGGAAAACACCTGGAGCATCTGCTGAGCAGTTGTGAAAAGACAACAGAAAGTTTTAGTTGTAGTCAAGACACAAAGCAGTGAGCCACACTGAATCTACTTTCTAATCTCTGTAATTTAATTGGTTTTTCTTACATTTCTTTTTCATGTTGTGCAGCATGGCATGTGAACCTAGCTGCCTTTGCAAAACTTTCTAAACTTCATTCATTAGTGAGAGTTAAAGCCATGGGTGCCTATGCTCTTACTTTTGAGTGGGGTGCATTCCCATGAAGCCAAGCACTGATCTCCAATTCACGCTTTCAAAAGCCCCCCTTGGTGCAGGCATCATCAAAGCTTTATGAATGAATCTGTATGCTCATTAGCATGTTAGCTGAGTGGAACCGAAACCACTGTGTGCTGGGGCCTGCAGCTAAACAGGTTTAAATATGGAAGCCTCTCTGTTAATTATACAGTTTCACGCAGTATAGTCGGTTGGTGTAGAAGCTCTCCTACTCTGCAGCTAATCAAGTTGAAGCACTGGCTGCTTGCAGAGAGCGAGAGAGAGAGTGAGAGACAGATGCTAATCAAGTAGAAAGTAGTGACAAAGTATTTTTGTGCATGTGTGCCCATTTTCCCATTACTGCACTGTGCCAGCGGCGCTCGCTCTATTTATAACCACAGGGAGCTAAATGGAGAGAGTTGATGTCAAGAATAGATGAGTTTCCTCATTATAGAAATTGCTTTGTGTGCACAGAAATCTGTCACAGGTCGCATTCACATTATGTCCACTGTGACACAAGTGGAACATTAATTGCTTATCCCTGATTTTAATCACTTAATATGAGAATTAGGATAGTTATTTAACAGTATAAGTGGAATGCATATACTTTGTTTTGTTGTTTTTCTTTTCTTTATTATGGGTTTTCTCTGCAGGCACGTCCATTTGACTTTGAGGATGGAGATGTGTACATGTCTTCCCATGAACATCGTTTCCGCTTGTTCAGCTCAGTGGAGTATGAAGGACAGCTGTACATGACCCCACAAAACTTCATCGAGTCGGTTACCATGAGTGAACCGAGAAGTACGTATGAAAAAATAGCTTGTTTTCTGTTGTTCTCAAAATTGTGTCTCCTTAAGACAAAAATATTTGGGGCTTATTTTATCTGCTTAATCTGCATATATGACATGTACCCAGAGTACTTGACTGCTTCATTTAAATCAATCATTTAACACGAATTTATATTCTGCTTTTGATGGGACGTGTATAAATCTCAGCACTGCAAAGGATTGCTTTCACAGGGGAACTACCAGAAAATGCAGTTTGTAAATTTCTCCCCTCCTCAACCAAGATCCAAGGAGGAGGGAAGTTTATTTAACCAAGAACTGAATGTCTTGAGAATATCTTTTACAGGGGTGTTAAGCATGAACCTAAATTGTCCTGAGGCAGCAGTGGTCACCACTAAACCATCGTGCTGCTGGCTATTTCTATGAAACACATAACCAAACAATATCATCAGCTGTATCTTCACAGTCTCTCCTATATCCTATTATTGAATATTATTAACTCCATGGTCTTGGACTGTAGCTGGTAGACCTAGTTCTGCTCTGCAGTCTCAGTGAACTCTGCATAGTGGCACATGAACCATTTGTCCACCTGGTTCAGGTTAGGGTGGCTTCCAGATCTCTGGTGCAAAACAAGGTCTACTCATGCAGTCCAAAATGGTGGAGTTGGAATCTGTCCAACCACGGCCGAGACTGAGCAAACAAGCTGGCCAGTGAGTCTTCCCGTAGGGAAAACACAGGAAGGGGGCAGGGCTAGCTGGTTGTCCACAAATAAATTAGTTCTGTCAGAGTGCTAAAAATAAAGATGGAAAATGTGCAGAAAAAATGCTAAAATCAGTCACCACTGTAAACTTCTATGCTTCTTTTGCCATTAAAAACTTTTATTTATATAAATACAACTCGAAGTGCTTTGCAATTCAGCTGCAAGGATAATTAAATGTTTTAAAGAAAATCTATAACAGACAGACTTAAAGACTTGTCAGTTAAAGGTTAGATTGAACAGCTGAGTTTGAATGTTCACAGAAAGTTATCCACCAATCAGTAGGTCTGCTATTTAAAAGCAGCGTTCCACCTTTTTGTAATAGCTAACACTGACATCTAAAGAGGCTTTCTGTCATATTTTGAAACATTTTAATTTAGTTATGCACATGATTAATTGACTTAAATGTTGCTGCTCTTGCTAATCGGTGCTAGAAGTACAAGTCGATTAAATGAATCATTCATTTTTAATGAATGAACATGCCAGCTGGGTCTAAAGTCTTATGCAGCTACTCTACACAAGCCTAGATGGCAGCGCCTCTCTCTTTTCAATGAGAAATTGTAAATATGAAAAGTAAGACAAATGACTGCCTTACAAATCGTTTCTTCAAATGGCTCTTAAGTACACATAGTGTTTGATAAGGTAAAATAGCAACCTCAGAGGTTCCTGGGATTCATGGAGAAACATAAAATGATAGGAAGTCTATAGTGTAGGACGGGGAAAAGCTAATTTATACTTCAAGAATTTAAGATATAAATTACATTTAAATTTAAGCAAGATTTGATTGGATACTTGAACCCTTTGTTTTTATCATTTAATTGACAGTGAATACCTCATGTTTACTGATCCCTGTTTGGTGGTTGATTTTAAATATTACATATGTATTTCAGTGCCAGGTATACAATTTTTTGCCATCTCTTAAAAAACTTTAAAAATATGGTTTTAAAACACATCTTTGTAATTTCTGTTGGCCCACTGTCATTTGTAACAGATTAGCCCTGGCTGGCTTCTTCAAAGCAGGTGGCTTTAAAGCTATTGTTTAGTCTGTGGTTAATGTTAGTCAGACACACACATTCCATTTGCTCTCATGTACCCTTTCTCTTACCCTGCAAATATCTAATCTGGAGAATCATCTTAAAATTTTCCTGTGCGACCACTGCTTTAAGTATCTCTTCACATGTGGAAGTTATCACAAACAAAAAGCTGCTATTTATTTATTTAATGGATATATAATTGCGTTGCGTGCAAACTGTGCACCTGTATGTGTGTGTTTACATCTAGCCTTGGCTCGCTGACATACGATACAGCCGCACATGCCCTCTCGGCAGCTGACATCCTCGAATGGCCCCTTTGAAGTTGAATTAGATGAACTTTGTTGTATAAAACAGAACAAAAGTAGTATGTGCTTTTACAGGGACATTCCACATACTACAAAGACAAGCACAGGGCACTTGAGATGGTACAAATGGGCCTGTGATGATGACAGTGTATATAAAATGAGTGTGCCTGTGTGTGTGTGTGTTGTGACTGTACCTGGCACATTAAGACCCATTTCTAGATCACACAGATGCTATCTGACTGAGCCCACCCAAACTCTCTTCTCCTCTTTCCCTTCTTCTTCTCTTCTCTTTTGTCTCGTTTCCCTGGCAGGCAAGAGGCCCTGGAGGTCCCTGACAAAACAGGTGGGAAACACACTCTAACTGTTTTTCGTGCTCCTCTATATTGCAGACAGACATCTGTTGCATGTTACATCTAAATCAGTATACACTGCAAAGTTTAAAACCTATTTTCCTAGTATTTGTCATGAGTTTCTGCATACAAATGTCATGATTCCTCATACGTATGTATTGCAGATTATCTCTAAGTTCAGCAATAATCAGGTTTACTAATTTAAAATCCAAATGTAAAAATGTAAGTGCATTAAAGAAATACTGTATGCAAAATACTGAGGCTCTGAAAATTTCATACAGCACAAACAGGATCTTTAGCTTTATTTAAACTGTAGATCATACCATTGAATGTGAAAATACAGGATATCGCCACATCAGTACTCACCTGGTTATAATCTCAGTACCCTGTGCAGTTTTCATGTTGCACACCCTCCCACACTCATGAAAGCTATGGCTTGCTGTTTGGCTGGCACTGGACAATGGTCACTTAATGCAGGTCTCCTGTGTCTTGCGGGCTATAAAAGCCGGCCCAGGTGAACCACTCAGTCTCTCTCTTCCACTCCACCTGACATCAACTTATTAGCAATCTTTGTGTCTCGGTTAGGTTATGTATAATAAATTATTTTATATCTACGTGAGCTTCTTGTGTGAAATCCCTTTTTCTCACCTTCTTTGAGCCAGTTTGTGACACAGTTTACATTAAGTTTTATTCATATAAACTGTATATAAAATCAGCCACTTTTTAAAAGTCTTGTGTTGAAGGGTTGCATTATTGTGATCCTAATTTTTTAAATTTGATAACATCCATCAAATCTGAAAGGGAACCTGAGGATGCTACACATGCCCGTAATACAGTATCTTATTAATAACAAGATGGCTACATTCTGAAGCATAACTTGTTTAATCTTTTGTTTAACGTAAAATCAGACCATAAAATAGATTTTGAAAAGGATTTGAACATTTAAACAGTGATTTTAGACACAAGTAATTTTTACATTCTTTAGATGAATGCTCAATCATCCAGGTAAGTAAATCTCCAAAAGTTGATTCTGTTTTTTTTTTTCTAAACACTGTGTTTCTGTGACTTTTGAACCCCAAAACACACTGCGCCAAAAATTGGTCCACCCCAAGGATCGGGTGCCCCGACACAAACACAGTAACATAGTGTACGCTGTTAAGTGCCAGGACGATTGCCAGGATTTATACATCGGGGAAACCAAACAACTTCTGGCAAAGCGGATGGCACAACACAGAAGAGCTACCTCGTCAGGCCAGGACTCTGCAGTCTATTCACACCTACAGGCCAGTGGACACTCTTTCAATGGAGGGGGGCCTAAGGGTACATCTTTCACCATCTTACAATGCTGTGATTGCAGCCATTCCCCAACTCTCTGTGAATGGTACTGGTGGCCATTGATCAGTGGGCTTCGATCAGTGGTTGTTGATCAATGGTCATGAGAATTTGCATAATTAAGATGAAGGAACTGACCTCCCATTTTCCCTTCAGTGGGCTGGTTTTGGTCATTATGCAAATGAACTGGGGATTGGGGAAACCTGCAGTCAGCTGAGACTGAAGAACTTGGATGAGTGACGAAACGTTTCTCCCACTGAAAACACTACGTCCAGATAAACAGAATCAACTTTTGGAGGTTTTTACATTTTTGTTAAGTGTTGTAACTTCTTTTTAAGAATCCATAAGGAAATTCTTGTGCTGCTGGAGTGTGAAATCTAAGAAAAATGCAGACTCCACTCAAATCCTAATTCACAGCACCACAAATGGTCAAAACCTCCACAGGCTACTTTTGGTACTTTATTTTTTCTTTCTTCAAAGCAGTCTTTGTGTCAATTAAAAAATATATATATACATACATTCCTTTCTATACAAGTCATATAAAATACCACATTAATAACAATACTAAAATAGTTGGCCTGCCAAGCTTTTTTTTTCCTTCTTTCCACGGCATGCTAACCTTTCCTGTTTGCGCTGGATCGGTGTGTGTAAAAGTTGAAGTTTGAAGTTAGAGGTCTGTGTTTTTAGAGTTTATCTTACCTTTTTATTGTGTGTTTGTATGTGTCTGTAAGGAGCTGGAGAAGATCCTATCAGACACTCCTCCCGTGTGGAGAGGATCCTCCAAACTATTTCGCAACCTGAGAGAACGAGGTCAGAGAGCGTACACACACACACACACACGCACACACGCACATACACACAAAACAGGAGCAAAATACCTTTTCACTAAATAAAAAAAGGAACACACATGCACTGTACACAAAACCCATTGACACTGTTTTCTCTTTTAATTGTTATCAGAGCACATAAGTAGGAGTGTAAGAGTCAGATAATAACAAGGTCAGTGAATGTCAGTCAAATAGGACTCGGTTTATATGATGAGTAAACATGGTAAAGTATTTAAGTTTCTTCAGCTTTCAAGTTGTTAAAGATTATTTAAAATACTGAACAATTGTTTGCTGATACACTGTCAGAGAATTTAATGTTGTAAAAATCACGACTGTCATTTTAAGACCATGTATATGTATAATGTCTATTCTCTATGTCTGTATGTTCCCTAACTCCTCCTAATCAGTCACCTTAATCAGTTTGAATGAAACTTTATAAACTGCCTAGAGCACCACGATTATCATTTATTTAGCTTTTGGAAATTATTTTTAAAACACACAAATGAATTGAGTGCTAAATATAATACTTTGTCCTCTTATAAGTCATATATATTATGTGTAGTAACTAATGTCAAAACAAATTGTGACATTACATTCACATTATGTATGTGTACATTGTTCGGAAATACATTTTGGTAATCAAAATTTTAGTGCAGTGACACTTTGGGTTACTGGAATGAGCTGTCATGCATATATGTAAATAAGTGTGCATCAAACAGTGACACTAATAGTACCTGGGATTGATTGCTTTGTCTTATACAATAAACATGTCGCCTGCAAAGAAGAATAGATACAAGTATTTATTATTCATTTGTCTGGTGTTTATGAACAGCCATTTATGCCATATGACTACATAAAAAGATATTAATGAAGATAAAGAGAATAACATGATAAATTAGCATATATGTCTGTGTTTTAGGACAGGAGCAAAGGGGCGGGGTTTTTGCTTGGATCACTAATATAATTATGCATCCTCGCAATTAACTTAATTATCTTTATTATGTATTTTTTTTCTTTTCATTCAGCCCGCAAATACCTAACAGAGGTAGTAGAAATCTAAGAGGTATTCTTGCATCATGTTATATTTCTTAGGTGATACACCTGCATGACTGTCAGGGTTCTTACATTATTATACAGTAACTGCGATGACCTAACTGTGCTTTTGTGCACATTTCCCAGTGCTTGGCTCTCAGTGTGTGATAAAATCATACTTGTGAGTTGTGTGTCACTGTAGGGGTCTCTAATCCAAGTTTGTGCCATGCTGTTACTCCGTACAGCTGAACAACCTCCTCTCCTCTCCTCTCCTCTCCTCTCCTCTCCTCTCCTCTCCTCTACAATTTATGCAACACTAAAAGATAGAGAAAAGCTCACCCTAATTAAGCATTTGCCTCAGGAGTATGTAACAGAGGAATAACACAGTCTGGGACTGATTCCCTGTAGTGATAATTACACAGATACACAGATATACACACACTGGGAGATGCTAAATATAGCAAACCATGTGTGATGCATCCCCTCTCTTCCTCTACCATAATAACAAAGGTATATTCTTAAGCTTGTAACGTTTGAGTGTGTTTGATTTAGTCTACAGGGACAAGTAGCCAGGAGGGTGGTCTGCTTCCTTTTTTCATCAGAGAGATGGAGGGAAAAAAAGAATAGAGTAGGAAAATCAAATCAGGGAGTGAAAAGGAGATTTAAAAGGAGAGTGGGAGAAATATAAGAAACAGATGGAGTGTAAAAGATGGGCTATAAAAGACAAACAGGCAAAGTAGACAGAGAAATGAATATGGTAAGAGAGGAAAAAGAGAAAGTTTGTAAACAGAAACCTCAGGGTAATCTATGGTTATTGTACTTTAACCATTCATTCCTGGTGGAGCACTACTGAGACCACACACACCATCAAGATTTAACAGGGCTGATTTTTTCATTCACATACAGTAAAACATTCTTGATTTCCAAGGTTGGTTTTTTTTGGTTTTTTTTACATATTTCTCATGTGTCAGAACATCAAACAAATTTAAATGTTAGACAAAGATAACCTGAGTAAATACAAGCTCGCGGCTGTAAGAGACGCTCAGAGCAAAGGCTCCAGCCATCCATTCCAATACAAACACATCAAAGTATGACTAATAATTCAACAATAAAATAGCTTTATGTTGTGGCCATCACATTGTGTTTTCCAAAGTGATTTAGGATCTGAAAGTGAACAGATTTAGGGTACGTAATGCTTTTTTCGGTTTATTTTCATTTCACACGTAAAACACATTTATACATTCATTCCAACTTGCTCTCATTCCCATACCGACAATTTGTCACAGTCGTTGGTATTTTACGCGTCAGGATGAGAACGTGTTGCAAAAAGCAACACATCGTGCCACGATATTAAGAAACAGCCGAAAAACAAAGTCATTGACATCTATCAGTCTGGATTTCAAAGGGTCACAAAACTACTGCATATGTTACCTAGATTTCACAAAATTCATACTACTTTTTTTAATTCAGGTGCTTTCAGTCCCATTCCCACAGGTGTATAAAATGTGTGGCCTTGCATGCATTTGTAAAAGAATGAGTCCTTCTACAGCGCTCACTGAACTCAGTCGTGTCACTGTTGCAACAAGTCAGTCCATTAAATTTAAATCCTATATTTTCACAATCAGCTGTAAGTGGTTTTACTACAAAGTGGAGGGATTTAGTAACCATAGAAACTCAGCCATGAAGTGGCAGACCCCATAAAGTTATATAGCGGGGGTCACCGAGTGCTGAGGTACATAATGTGTAAAGCTCCAAAACTCCAGTGACATTAACATCAGCACACAAGCTGTTCTCAGGAACTTCATGACATGGCTTTTCAGTGGCTGAACAGCTCCTGTGGGTGTGATGTGTACGTGGCCCAGTACGTTTGAAAGTTGAAATCGTTGTAATGTCTTTGGATTTCTGAGCTCGATAGAGTTGAAAATCAGACAAAGACTCAAAGGGGTTCACTGTGTCTGTGTGTTAATGTCAGAACACACTACATTAATTCATGATTGATTAATTGATTATCAGTTATTTATGACTACCACAGTATGGGTAATGCATTACTGTGCTTTAGAAAAATTGACTGTGTAAGTATACAGTAACATGCTGGGTATGTATATCGCAGATTTAACACAATGTTAATCCATGTTTCCATCTGTCACACACAACAGCTGAGTAAATATTCCTTTCATAGTACCAGTATAAAGCATTTGTGTTAACTGGGAATGCCTTTTTGGTTTTTGACTTTCTGACTTTGATAAAGTAAGTGAAATGCCACACATTGGATAATTAAATCAAAAATAATTTCAGACTGCAGTGAAAATATAACTGGAAATATAGTCAAAGCAGTAAAGACTCATTGCAGTCATTTGCATTGCCTGTATGCAACATGGAACATTGTTACCTGTGCCTAATATGTTAATACTCATGTGACACATTCATGTTTTCCATTTAAAACGGTTTATTAGTACTACTGTAATGTCATCATGGTTCACATGTACTTAACTAACCCTTATATTTGTCTTTAGTTGACCTGCACAACAAACACAAAATTTAGATCTTCTTGGGCTTCTTAATATATGCTATTCTAGTGAGTCCATAGCAGATGTCCATAATAGAGGAAGGTGCTTTAGTATTAACATATGCATTGATATAGATTAAGTTAAATAAATTTCTCTGGAGGTAAATATCAGGGTTTTTTGAGTTAATAAAATTTCTTGGGGCTGATTCAAACCATCAGATTTGTTATTATTGGATTACAATGGACTCTTAACATCTTTAACCCACTGACAATTAAAAGAAAAGGAAGGCAAAATCAACAAACATATGGAACATATGTTAATGTTAAAACTATTGGAGAGGACATATAATGCCTGTTTACAGCCCTTTCCATCATGATTAAATATCACCTTGAGATCAGTATTAATCCCTCTTATTCTGTGGTATATCACTGAAAGCATGGGAGCGTAAACACACAACAGACTGTATTATAGAAACCTGAGTAGCTTCAATTTTGTATGCTCTAGTCTATGCAGAGCTCAGGCTACATGGGGGAAAAAGACTTCAGTTCCAAACCAGCTCCTCTACACAAAGCAGTCAAGCATCAGCAAAACACAAGGCTCACACTGACTTTAACTGGTGTCGTGTTCACCCTCACACACTCATGCATACATACACACAAATGGGGGAGAAGTCTCCCGTAACACTCAAGCGAACCACCCTGAACTATCTGAACGATCAGACAGAAAGCGAAAAAAGAGGGAGAGAGAGCGTAGATGGAGCTGCAAAGATTCCTGAATGTGCCTGAGGCAAGAAAGGATCACCTCCTGAAACATTTTTCACTTGCTTATCCAAACACAAGACACATACACACACAGACACACGCTAGCCTGTGTCTTTACTCTGGACACTTGGGGTGTAGAAAAAGAATCGGTGTGTGGCCAAATGGCCGCTGGCAGCTCCGCTTTGAGAAGACACATTTTAAGATGCTATCTCCATGAAAGGAAGGATTATGTGTGTTAGTGTGTATGTCTTTGTGTGAGGCCCACAGTCTTTGAACATCTGTAAACATTGTGAATGTGTGTATGTGTGTGTGTGTGTGTGAGTTGAATATGACCTCTTCCTTAACTCTCTCTGTCTTGATCTCATTACCAGGCATCATCTCATACACAGAGTACCTGTTCCTGCTCTGCATCTTGACAAGTGAGTCAATTCAGTTGCACACATTCTCCTTTCACTTAAACTCATCTGCACCTTTTTATCATATCTCTTTCACCCAGTTGTTGTTTGCATTATTATATTCTTATTTTTAGAAAAATTACGTGACAAAGCGAAGTGCGCTAAGTACATATAGAAATTTAAAAAATGTTGATCTCACAAATGCTGTGGTTTTCCCCTTCACCTTAGGGCAAGACAAAAAGAGACAGAGACAGACCAAAGATGAAAAAAATGTAAACGTAAGGAAAGTTGCAAGAACATCTTCTCAAAAGATGAAGAAAAGTAATAGATAAATTTCTTTAACAAAAGAAAAAAAGAAAGTGGCTATAAAATTCCATAAAGTTTATTCTTTTCATCTGGAAGCAACAATTTCAGTACTTTCAGCACTCATCCAAGTGACCCAGTCTCCCCCTAACCTTACAAACAGTCCAGCTGCATAACGATTGAAAGTAGCGTCACTGCATAACAATGAGCAATGAGATCAGTTTCATAATGGTTGATATGCAAATTGGCGTGACCGTTAATCAGTAGCCTCTTGCACTCTTCACAGACAGTTGGGTAATGACTGCGATCAGATGGTTAAAGATTTTCTCTAAGGCCTCCTCAATTCCAACATTGTCATTCCCTTTTCACATAAATGTCCTCCTTGGCTCCTTGATGATACCAGCGTTCCTGCCTGTCCAGGATGTGCACGTCCTTGTAATTGAAAGCGTGACCATTGGCCTGTGTGTCTAAGTGGACTAAAGAGTCAAGGCCAGAGGACGAGGCTCTTCTGTGTTGCGCCGTCCACTTAGCCAGAGGTTGTTTGGTGTCCCCGGTGTATAATTTACAGCCATCCTCTTGACATTTAAGAGTGTACACTGTATTGCTCTGATGCTTGGGGGTGGGCCAGTCACTGGCATAGCATGTTTTAGGGTGTTTTACAAATATGGATCTCAGCTGTACTGACACATAAGGGATCAATAAAAAGTTGTTTCTTTTAATGATTTTTCCACAAATTTTAATTTTAATTCAACCTAAATAGATGATGGATGAAGTTATAGTGAATAAAAATAAGCATACTTGATCTTAACTGCTCAGTTTCTGCTTGCAGGGGGCTGGAGTTTGTCATAGCTGCCACAGGGTGAAAGGCAGTGCACACCCCCACACCAAAAACCATAAGACCATAATTGAAATTACATTTTACTTCATCTCTTAGACGTATGACCAGCATGTGAAACTAGTTTAAATAGAAATTACTGTCTTTTTTTCTTTTTCTTTTTTTTTTTACATGCATGCTTCCTTGTTTGGCCTTAAAAATGGTTGAATAAATAGAATAAAATGTCAAATTGAAAGGTCAGTCTGTAGCAAATGTATTTGTTCTGCTATTGTGTTTTTTTTAAAATAACTTTAACCTGGTCAACACTTTAATGTTTTCTTTGGATAAGCAGCTATGTTTGAAACTGTGGCTTCATTTAAGTCATTCTCCCTCCTATTGATGCTTTGAGACACTTTTTCCACTTACTATTTATGGATTTCAAATTGCCTTTAACAAACACATGCACACACTCACCCTATGTGTTCCCTTCTCTGTTCCCCAGAGCCTCATGCTGGCTTTAAGATTGCTTTCAATATGTTTGATGCAGACGGCAACCAGATGGTGGATAAGAGGGAGTTCCTAGTGGTGAGTCGCAGATATTGGGAGAAAACCTGAATTTACATATTAATATTAACCCTTTTTGTTACTCCTTTTACTAAAAAGCAGTGTTAAAGAATAGCTTTAGTATTAAATAACAATCCATGATTTTAGAGTGGACAAAAGACAAAACCTTACTTTTGAAAATCTAATTTTGACTTGTACCATGGTGTTTTAATGTAGTTTATTAAATTACTAAAATTAAAGAGGCCCTATTTTGCCCATTTTCAAGTCAATATTTTAATTCTTGGACTCTTATAGTACAAATATGTTTATGTGATTTACAGGAAAAAGGATACTAAACCTTATACATCAAATGACGGGCTTTAGTGCAGACCCTCAGTTCATCCAGTGTCACCCTCTGACTCATGATGTCTGGTTTTTGAAAAGTAAAGATTGGCGTACCAGAAATCCTCATCTTGAAGCTTTAAAAACAAGATTGCACAAATCAGTCCATCCTAGATGTTTTTTCCTTGCCTGGTTGTTTTCTATGTCAGTATTAGCAACTATAATGAACTTAACACTGTTTATGAACTGTCAAACCAGGCATAGTAGAAACACTTGAATTGTCATAGATCACATTTATAGATCAAATGTCAGTATGTCAAATCTTGTCTACCTTACATTACTAAAATGATTCCTTACCCACTGTGACTTGGGCTGTTACAGTACTACAAGCTCAATACTGATAAATTTAATACCTGACATTCTACCATTTTTGATATCACAGGTCAAAACTCCCCAAAAAGGACAAGATTTTTTGATTTTCTGTGGTAGTGCTGTGCTTCTGGTGACTTGGCTCCACATTTTTGTTGCTAATCGAGTAGAGTTGGTAAGGCAGGCTGCTCTAGTTGATGTTAGACTTTTCCTAGCTTCTGTCTGGGATTTTTAAAGAGATTTAACAGTTTTTAGATACAAATAATTGTGCTCTCTGGTTAAATTAACATCACCATGTTACAGATGGGCAAGATTGAGAACATTTGCTGCTACTACCTTATTGAAAACTTAACAGACTGACAGCTTGAAATTAATCTTGATTCTCAGCATGTTACATTACGTTTGTAAACTCAGTAAATCATTTCAGAATTTGGACTAATGCTTGGTCGTGTTTCAGCTTTATCTGCCTGTAAGACTGTTCCTCAAGTCTCATGCAAGCATCCTTGCGCTCTCAAACAATACATTCACAGATTGCATCATTTACAGAAGTCTTTTCCCTATTAAAGTGTCTCCATCATCTTAATCAATAAAAAAAACATTTGGCCAACATTGTAGTACCCTAAGCGAATATACTATTATGTACCTTTATTCCCAGTGCCTTGAGCTTTAACTATATTTTAACGTTTAAAGCAGTTAAAAAGGTTGACTTTGAATTTGCATCTTCTAAAGGCAGCTTATTACAAAGCTGAGAAGACTAACTGTAGGATTTCTTGAGGGCTACACATGTGTTTCTTTCCCTGTGGGATAGAACTGACACGTTTTCAAGTCAAAACACCGCTGCAGGCATGAAGGGATCAGAATCTCTGAAGGTTGGTGGGAGTGGGATGGCACATCAGCAGGAGGGAGTGGTAATGATTTAAAATCCTGTGGGAGCAGGCAGGTGTGGGACAGAAAAAGATTCTCACATTGAGGGTTTAGATACAGATTTTTCTGTTTTACATGTGATATTGGTTGTCAGAGTAATTAAATATTCTTAAATGGAAATTGAACAATACCAGTGACTATTGCTGTCTTTTATGATCATATGCTCTTAGAGAGCGTTTATGTATCTGTATTTGTGTAGACATCAGGTTGCTGTGTTTGTGGTTGTGCATTTTTTATTTAACTCTTAATTAATTATAACATTTATATTACAAATCTCGTTATTTTATTTCAAAGAAATTAGTATTTTAATTTAAATTTGAATAAGTAAGTATATAAAAACTTACCCGACACTGTAGTGTAGAAGCAGTTGTTTTTTTTCATATTGAATTCAGCATTGATTTTTCCTTTAATAACACATATGCATAAACATAAATCACTTCCAGAGTGAAACCTGAATACTCCCTTAATCATGCTGCCAAAAGACCATTACCTGAATGACATCATAGATGTGCTTGAAAGAGTGAATGACCTTGTTTGAACTCATTTGAGCATTTCATTTTTTTAACAGCGTTTTAGATCTGACTTTGAATTGTCAATGAGCTCCTCGTCTTTTCTCTCATTACAGCTTCAGGAGATCTTTAGGAAGAAAAACGAGAAGAAAGGAAGGAAAGGAGATGCTGAGAAGTCCGCGCAGTTGGTAAGGAAGATGGTAACGGGGTGTGGGGGTGTATGCTCAGACAAGCATGGGTATTACTGCTAATTAACCTTAATGCTGGCAACAGTGAACCAACCATGAATAGTCTATGTGGACGTGGACTTCATAAATGCTTCTGTTGTTAGTGGGGTAAACTTAAAAGACAGGTAAACATTAATGTAAACTTACTTTACATTTTAATATATCCATGAGTGTAAACTGTCACAACACCTCTTACCATTTAGTTAAGGTTGCTGACAGAAGTGCTGTGTCACACTGCGCACATGGATTTATTAAAAACGATCATCATGATCGTCAAAGTTAACTGTCATTTGTATTCATGCAGGTGTGAAACTAAACCTTTCATGTAACTAGTTTTGAGTGCATGCTGCCTCGTAGAAACTGTTTGGTATCTCTGTGACAGTTATCCCTGCTGTGGACTTGGTATATTTGATTTATATATATGATAGAATATGTGTCTTTCTCAGCACTTTATGCGATTGAGTTTTAGAAATAACACCAAGCACCTCGCATTACTGCTCTCTTTGTGTCAGAGTGTATATGCAACTTAATAACTATCAAAGAGAGCAGGTTTGATGAGTTAGTATTAACTTGTCCCATCCCACATATGTGTTGTGCTACAAACAGATTAATTAAGGTAACTTACAAACAGATAAGCCATTAGGTATCTTGTGCATTAGTTATAGTAAAATGTTCTCAAGGTAAGTTTTTCATGACATGATTTGCAAAAGAAATATTTAAAAGCTTCTTATTAAAATCTTCCTTTTGTTACTTATCTATATCTTATTGATGTTGAAGTAAATCTTTCAAACCCAAGTTTACTAAGAACCTGTGTAGATGTGTAAGCAAATAAGAGATAGAGATTTGTTGATCTAAGCATTGGGTATCTTACAGAACAGTCCTGGTTGTGCTGTTGGCTCACAGGAAATACTGTCACTGAAAAATGAAGGATATGTTTCCCACATAACTTATCTCTTGAAAGTACATGCTTGGTGTTAGGCACAGTGTGTATTCTAAAATGTAATCATAGATGTGTTGAAAATGGCACATCCTCTTTCCTTGCATGTACTAACATGTCTTTTACCTTCTCTCCTCCTCTCTGACTGCATGCTCTGTCCTCTTCTTTCTCTTCCTCGTGTCTCTCTCTGTGTGTTAGAGTATGCAGCTGTATGGATATCAGGTTGCCCCCATGAACAGCGTAGGTATCCACATGGCATAGTCTCGTTTTCTGCTTTTTAGATAGATAAAGATATTTATGGAGCAGAGAATAGGCTGTTTTTATTAGCTGGGTCAGTTCAACAGCTTTATTGTTTAGCAATCAGTCAGAGTAGAAACCTTATGGTAACAAAAAGCTTAAGTTTTGTGAAACCATGTGAGAATATGTTAAACTTTACCTGTGTGGAATTATATTTGTGTCAATAATAATGTGAAATAAAACATAATCATGGGCAAATATTTAAATTGAACACAGTAAACTGAACCTGTCAATCACAGAGGTTATGAGGTCACTTTCAAAGTGACCTTTTCCCTTTGGGCTCTGCCCTCCAAACTGTCAAAAGTCAGAATCATTCAAGCGAGACACAATTCAGCTTCGAGAGCAGAGCCGGCCAAGACAGCGTGAATCTGCTGCAGTGATTACCAAGGAGGTATTTTAACATTTCCGATGAATATTTTTGGGCTGCTGTGTGGAAATGAATAGCTGAAAAAATATAAATGATTTGTCTGTGATTGTGTTTTAGCTCACCTGCCACTTGTGACACATATATATTTCCATACATCTGAACTGTTTCTCAGTCACTAAAACATTTGCTTTGCAGTCTGTGTGTCACCATGCCTTTTAGATACAATTATTAAGTTTAATGTGAAAAATTAGGTGACAAGAGTTACATCAATCATATCTGTTCATTAATTATAAGGACACACCAACCCTGCCAAGTTTAAATTAATATAGATTGCCAGGACCTTTAAATATCACACATTAAATCACACATTAATGGCCTTTATTTTGCGTTCAGTTTAAACATTCCATATAATATATATATATGCAGCAGAGTTTTTTAATACACTGACTCTCTGGAGTCTAAAAACCTTAATAAAAATAAAAAGGCCTGTCATTCCCTTCTGCTCCTGATGATGGAAAAAGCCTTAAATTTGACCCAGTCCACCTGATCCTCTGTTATCAGTGAAATGTACTCTGTAAGCTACTTTGAAGGATGAATGTAAGAGAAAGAGAGAGGGAGAAGGGAAAAATTCAAGAAAGGTTGCCCATCTGTCAAGTCAGCTGATTGATTGATTGAGGGATGATTAATGGACAGACAAAGAAAAGAGTAATACATTTAAGGGGTCAGGAGAGATGAACTCTTACAAAAAGAGAGCGATGTAATTTAAAATGACCTGAGACCCTGTAGAGCTCTAAAGACAATCAGACTCCATTTTAGTCCTTTTTAGGACATGTGCTGTATTTTTTGGCAGTATTGTTTGTTCCTGATGGGGGAAGTTTGTTAATATAAAGATATAGAAGGAGATTTTTTAGGGAAGGAGGCCAAGGGTACATACAAAAATATGTTTCTGTTGTCTGAACAAAATCATATTTACATAAAGAACACAAAGAGGTTGAATTTGTCTGTTGAGCCTTATGAGATCGAAAATGAAACAGATTTTTACCTCTCAAGGATGAATATTTCTTATTTACCAACCCTGTGCAAAATGCTGATAGATTTGACTTATTAATTGTATGTAACCTGATGAGCTCTAAGTCGGAAAACAATTATTAAGGCATCAATCATTAGGAAATAGTTGGAGATTGGCTATTGGGTATCAATGATGATGACTAAAACTACTGAAGCTGCTGTACAAAATTTTGCATATTAATGAATAATAATCACGTGTGACATTTCTGAAATGCTTTATATTATGGTTTAAATATTTAAATAATTAATTATACTTAAATTCTATATGTTTTTTCCTGCCTGGATTGTATTAGAAAAGATTTGCATAATTCAAAGTTCAAAATAATCCTTACTTCTGTTATTCTTGATGCAGCCGAGAAAAACGAGAAAAGCAAATTTAGCTCAAAAGCCACCATCCTTTTAATACAGCTTTCTTTTAATTGGTTGTCCATTGCAAACAAAAAATTTGAACAGCAGGTGAGCGGTGCTTCTGTGATCACAGCCAGAGCCGTGTACTTTAGATCACCGTATTAAGGACATTGCCTCCCTTTTAGCCATAAAAGCAGAAAGAAATGTTTAAAACTGAATGTTTTGGGTTAGGGTTCCAAGCCTGAGCTTTTCGCTCACAGAGATCACCAGGACCTCATTATTTGAAACATTGGACATTTAATTATAGTTCCATTTTATCACTTTCAAGTGCTTTTTTGTACCTAGTGTCTGTTGAGATGTAATGACAGTGACTGTAGCTGTCTGTTATGAGTAGTAATTTATATGTGGAGTGGAAACGGCCTGCAGTGTAGTGAAAATCAGCAGTGTGCTGTCAGAAACAATACACTACCAGCCACTGCTCTCTCTCTCTCTCTCTGTCATGCTGTCTCACACATAGACAGACACACACAGACAGACACACATATGCACTCCTCCTGTCACTGCTGTGATGGATAGCCGCATTGTCGCACTGAAGTTAAGAGCATTGCAGGGTCATGTTAAAATGGCTGCTGTTGCTTTCTCCCTGGAGAGAGAGACGAGGTGGGTGGTCAGAAGCTCAGCACCGTGGTCAGCCTTTATTAAGGTAGAATAACGTTTGCTAACAGAGCCAACTGTTGCTATAGAACTGCCTAAAGTACTTATTTAATAAAGAAAATGTGCTATAGGGTGACATCTTCATATATTTCTTCTTTAAAAACATTTTTTTTTCCTTGTGTTTGTTGCTGAGTCAGCAACATGAGTGAGTTATAGCTTCAGTGATTTAAACAGAATAGCACATCCATCATCATCCTGATGATTCCCTGTTGGTAGTATCCTTTCCTTTACCTGTAATCTAAACCTAGCTGCAGAGAAGCTAGCTATTTGTGTATGCCCCTTCCTGTTTGATGCTAACATGTTTTTGTGTTTTTTTATGTTTGAATGGATAGGGTCTCCTTTATTGAGAGAACTAGTGAGTGCCATGTGACACCTTTCCTAAATATCCACCTGTATGTTCACATATAAATTCAGAGATATAATCTGTGTATGTTTACTTATAATGACAACTGATTGAATGGGTAATGGACGTTTATTTCCTGTACTGGTTGATTTGGAGGTTGACTGACCCTGGCCCTGCTTGACCACTCCTACAGGTGCTAAAAAAAGACAGTCAGGAGTTTGTGGCGCGGAGTTACTGGGACGTTTTGAGGCGAAGCGCCAGTCAAGTCCTCTTTTCTGACCTGGCGGAGGTACACATACCCAATCGTCCACTGTTCCTTCACCCCTGCATTCATTATCCTTCACTTTTTTCCTCATTCTTCAGCACCAGATAGTTCACATAGAGGATCCAAATACCCCCACACGTTCACAAGAAATATGTTCCATCAAGCTGGCCAGAATCAAACTCGAAATCCTATATACTATATAATACTTTTCCCTGAGAATAAAAGCTTTACTTGAAACACACACCCCAGTTATTCTCCAATCTTCAGAGAAGTCATGTGTTAATGGTTGAAGTGCAAATGCACCAAAAAAGTTACTTTGAATCTTCACTCTAATATAGTCATTTTGGGATTATTGCAAAAGCTTTGGTCGTTCTAACTTTTATTCTGGTTTGGCTTGATAGTGATGATACGTTTCCTTGCTTTCTTTCTTTGTTTCCTAGATGTTAGAACAGAAATATCTCATCATTCTTCCCAGCGTTCCTTCCTTTGTCCCACAGCATTCTTCTTTGTTTTTCTTTCTAAAAATAGTAATAATTTAATTTTAGACTAGTGTAGAAATCATCACTGGTTTTTTTTTCAGTGTGAAATCATGTTTGTTTGGATGAGTTCTAAAAGAAACATTTAAAATCGGCATTCAAGCTCCAATGTTTACCTTTAATTTGTGAGAAAATATCTTTTTCTACTCGACACACTGTGGATTTGAATGAAATAATGTGAGCATCCTCCAAATGTTTCCTGTTTTGCTCCATCCTAAGTCATTTCACTCTGTCTGTGAAGATATTTATTTACTTTTGGATTATGAATATTTTGAAAGACTTTAGCCTTTGTTGTTGATCGGTACTGATCCATTAAATGACAAAGATTTTAATGTCCTTTTTTTAATAACTTGTCTTTTTTTCACCTTCTTTCTGTCTTCATTCTGCTTCATATGTGTATCTGTGCCTTGTTATCTGTGCCGTGTTGTGACTAGTGGCGTAGCTTTGGTGTCAGATCATTCCCACGTTGCGCCACAAGTGTTTAACAAGGATAAGACGGTTGACTGCAGAGCACATACAAAATCTTTGTCTCTTTATCACTACAAACTTAAATTCACGCAGTAGAATTCATGAGGAGTTACAGGACAACATCTTACACTATGATTTACACAAAAGGTTAACATTTGGAAAAAAAAACAACCTGCAAAATCCCTGGGATCAAAATTAAAACCAGATGGTGAGCTGAACTAATCGGAACTAGCAGGCATCCAACCTCATCCTTATTGTTTTAATGCACTATTCCAAGCTAGGAAAAGGCGATGATAGAATAATTGCTGAGACATTACCTCAGAAGCTTTTATGCTCTTTGGATCCCAGAATATCTGTTCATCAAACTGATACTTCTTAACATATTTCATGACTGGTGGTTTAACAAATGAGCTGTCTCAATAAATCAAAGTTAGTGTTTCCAGTTATTTCTACAATTGCAGCTTAAAGTGTCTTCCTGATAGTACTTTCTGAAGACTGGTAATCATTAGTAACAGCTAAAATAGTGCTAACAGACTAGCTCACTAATGACAGGTTGTCTGCTGTGTTGGCAGCGGAAGCTGAGGTTGAGGTAATGACAGTGAAACATAATGGGGTTGACCTTGTATTTACACCGTGCAGCCTTTCATCTGCCGGGATGTCAGACGGACAGAGCAGGAAAATCAGACATGGGGGGAAAAGAGTAAGGATTTTTTTTAATGGAGGGATATATTAAACATAAAAGGGATTAGAAATGATTTAGGATTAAATTAAGTAAGAAAAAAATGTGAAACAGTGACAAACAAGATGACAGCCAGGCAAAAGATGTAATTCAAAGAAATATAACATATCTTTAAGGACGCGATATCAGATAAGTGGAAAACATGAGGGTGAGGAGCACGCGAAGGAGATAAAATCAGAGTAAACAAATGGGTGAAAAAGGCCAAAGGAAGATGACACAGGTCAGCAGGCAGAACAAATGTTCAGGAACAAAGTGAGTGAGAAGAAAAGAAGTTCGGGAAGTACATTTGGGTGAAAAGAAAGAACCAGGTTGTATTTAGAGAAAGATGTGTTTACTCAACAGATTAGTCACCATTATACCTCTTTCCTTTTGTCTGGAGAAGGAGGGACTGACTGACAGGTAGAAAAGGAGGGAGTGTAGGACCGAGCAAATCACCTCTCTGTTTGTCAGGTGAAGGAGGTACTGACGGGTAGTGTGAGGTGAAAGGAAATCAGCGTAATCAGAGCAGGGGGTGGGATAAGATTAAAGGTATGATAAGAGATGTGAAGAAGAAGAAAGAAAGAAAATGTGGGAGATAAAAGTCATTGCAAGAAAATTGAACAAGCCATGAAACGGAAAGGGGGGGTTGGCTGTTTTTCCCCCTGGAAGGTGTGACTGACTGACAGTCTGACTGACTTGACTAAAGACCCACAATGAGCTCTTCCTCCGGAGTATTACTCACAGATGGGGAGGGTGAGGAACAGCGTTTAGCGTTTACATCAGTAATTACTGTTTTTACCCTCAGCTTCGTGATCAAAGACTGCACAAGCTCACAGATAAACACACAGATGGACAAATAGACACATGCATGCACCAGGTGTTGGCTCGTGCCTTGTGGGCGTGGTAACGATTACGTTGTCACGGGGATGATGAGCTCACACTAGTACCGCCACACTTCCAGGAATGATAAGCTTGTTATGATCCGTTTGGCATTACGTCGACAAGTTGGTAGACTGATCTGGATGCTTGAAAGCCTTTGCTATGACAAAGTTATTGCACATCACAATGACAAAATTCTTTTGGTTAGACATGTAAGAAAAAATAGCTCTAAAATTTGTAAGGGAGGTAGGCTCATTGTGATTATGGACTAATTAAAAGGTGGCTGTAGCCTCTGCGCCATTGCTAATTTATTAGCCAACTTGTGTTTTTAAAGCTGAACACTTTGATCGTTGTCATCTAATCTTTTTGAAAAACAGACATTACAGGTGTTACAATTTGACTGTGACACCAAAAGATACCAAATGGAGAAAGATACCAAAGGCACAACTTGCTTTATCATCCTTATGGACACTATTTGCAGCCGTACTTTAGAAGATGAGCATCTTATTGTGTTCAGTAAGAATCGAAGCTAGCAAATAATCCATTGAGGGGAATCGAGGGCCATTTACCCATAGATGTCTACACTTTTCTTTTTTTTTTTAATGTATTTATTTATGCAAGTTTCAAAATTTTTTACACATTCACAAACAGTGGGACAGAAGAACACAGACAATAAAGACAATAACAACCAAAAAAAACAAAACAAAAAAAAAACAAAACAAAACAAAAAAACAACAGAGCAACAAACCACACAACAGGGTACACGGCCAGCACTTATTAAAAACAGCAGAGAAGCAAACAAAGCAGATGTCTACACTTTTTGATTTTTTAGCAACCAAAGAAGTCGCCCCGTGCTGGCTGGTAGAAGAGATTACACTTAAAGAGACTTGAACATATAAGATGTATTGGCTAAAATAAACTTCTTTATAGTCTGTGGTCATGGTGAGGGTACACATTATTGATGATCTAGCATCAAACAACATTATAAGACAGCATCCAGTGAAAAATAGGTTACCATGGACTAAACATAAATAATCAAAACTTTAGATCAAATTGTTTCAGTGCTACTACTTTCAATTTCAAAATATCTGACTGCAACTTTATTATTACTTTGGTCTAGCTCATTTTTTAGCAGCATCGGGAGCTTCTTTTGTGAAAAATCTTAATTAAAGTTAATGGAGGAATTGGTAGTGACCAAAGTAGTGGTCAAAAATCTCTTAATGTAGCTTTAGTAATTAATTTTTAACCACATGTTCTATTTTTAACAAAGCTCAGATAACTGGTGTTATATCCTACACCCACAGTGTACAATCAATCTAAGTAATCTAAGTAATTTCCCTTGCTAGTTTGTACACTTCAGTAAATATCACTCCAACCATAGTGTATTCCACTCATTTGCAGGCTTTACTTCCTGTAGCTGTGGATCCATCCTTTTTCAAAATATATCTTGAAGACTCCTGAAATACATTTAGTACAAGTCTTTGTGCAACAGCTGATAACTCACTGCAGCGGTGAATAGACACCCACCAGATACATAAACTCCTCAGTCACAATAGTTTTGAATAAAGATAATGCGAAATGATTTCCTTGTTTTGAGTTCAAAACAACAAAACAGAATTAAGGGAACTCCACGTGGGAGGGAAGAGAGGCAGAGACACACCACCTGGATACTGTCTAGATGTATGAACAGCTCATGTGTCATAAAGACAGTAATGCGTCAGTTCAGAGATAAAAGAGCAAAACAAATTTTGTCCTGTTTGTCCGTAATCAGAGACTTAATGAAAAGAACGTCTAGTAAATGAGACACAGAAAACTTAGACACAGCAATGATAAGTCTGTAATTGTTTCAGTTTGTCTTGTGTTTACACAAAGGAAATCTTCCTTTGTCCCTAATCAAAGACTGAAAGACCAGACTCTTAAGTGAATCAGCAACAGACCAAAAGCTAAGAGTGGTCTTACTACAGTGTTTACTTTTAATGCTTGTTTCTCACAAGACATTTTTATTGTGTGAGTTACCAGTGTGGTTCCAGTTTAATCTACCATACATTTAAGAATTTTACTGCCTTGAACATCTGCATCTTCCTGCAGCTTATTGTTAATATTGTGCATTGATGACCAAAAGAATCTGTAATTGAAACACGATTTACTTTAACCAGTAGAGTTTTTAGTTGTTTTTATTAATTCATACATAACAACAATTTAATAAAAGCCTAAAATGTAGCCCGGTAAATGCCCAGCAAAATTCTAATGACTTTTGTCACATCAGTTGTTTTTTGTAAGATCACTTTTTTTCATTCTTATCCGTGGGGATGGTTTCCTCTCTATCAGAAAGACTGCAGCTCACTTACAGACATTTCTGACTGACTGAATGAATATTCTGGAACCAGTCTCCTGGAGAGGGGCTGGACTCTGTCTCAGTCTGGAGTTGCCCCTGGTGAGAGGCGGCGGGCTGGGGTGGGTATTCTTATATCCCCTCGGCTTGCTGCCGGTACGTTGGGGTTTTTCCCGGTGGACGAGAGGGTTTGTTCCCTGCGCCTTAGGGTCGGGGAACGGGTCCTGACTGTCATCTGCGCTTATGCGCCGAGTGGCAGTTCGGAGTACCCAGCCTTCTTAGAGTCCCTGGGGGGGGTGCTGGAAGGTGCTCCACCTGGAGACTCTGTTGTCCTGCTGGGAGACTTCAATGCTCACGTGGGTAACGACAGCGAGACCTGGAGGGGCGTGATTGGGAGGAACGGCCTCCCTGATCTGAACCCGAGCGGTGCTTTGTTATTGGACTTCTGTGCTAATCACAGTTTGGCCATAACGAACACCCTGTTCGAACATAAGAGTGTCCATAAGTGCACGTGGCACCAGGATGCTCTAGGCCGTAGGTCGATGATCGATTTTGTAATCGTATCACCAGACCTGCGACCATATGTTCTGGACACTCGGGTAAAGAGAGGGGCTGAGCTGTCAACTGATCACCACCTGGTGGTGAGTTGGATCAGGTGGCGGGGGAGGACGCTGGACAGACCTGGTGCACCTAAACGCGTAGTGAGGGTGTGCTGGGAACGTCTAGCAGAGGCCCCAGTCCGCGAGATCTTCAACGCACACCTCCGGCAGAGCTTCAACAGCATTCCGAGGGAGACTGGGGACATTGAGTCCGAATGGACCATGTTCAGCGTCTCCATTGCCGAAGCTGCTGCATTGAGCTGCGGCCGCAAGGTGGTTGGTGCCTGCCGTGGTGGTAATCCCCGAACCAAATGGTGGACACCAGAGGTGAAGGGAGCCACCAGGCTGAAGAAGGAGGCCTATCGGGCTTGGTTAGCCTGTGGGACTCCGGAGGCAGCCGACAGGTATCGACAGGCCAAGCGGAATGCGGCTCGGGCAGTGGCTGAAGCAAAAACTCGGGTGTGGGAGGAGTTCGGAGAGGCCATGGAAAAAGACTTTCGGACTGCCTCGAAGAGATTCTGGCAAACCGTCAGGCGTCTCAGGAGGGGAAAGCGGTGCTCTACCTGCACTGTGTATAGTGCTGGCGGAGCGCTGTTGACGTCGACTGAGAAAATTGTCGGGCGGTGGAAGGAATACTTCGAGGACCTCCTTAATCCCACTGACACGTCTTCCGGGGAGGAAGCAGAGTCTGGGGATGAGGGGTGTGACCCACCGATTTCCGGGGGCGAGGTCACTGAGGCAGTTAAACAACTCCTTGGTGGCAGAGCCCCTGGTGTCGATGAGGTCCGCCCCGAGTTCCTGAAGGCTCTGGACGTTGTAGGGCTGTCTTGGTTGACACGTCTCTGCAATGTTGCGTGGAGATCAGGGGCAGTACCTGTGGACTGGCAGACCGGGGTGGTGGTCCCCATCTTCAAGAAGGGGGACCGGAGGGTGTGTTCCAACTACAGGGGGATCACACTCCTCAGCCTCCCCGGGAAAGTCTATGCCAGGGTGCTGGAGAGGAGGGTTCGTCCGCTAGTCGAACCTCGGATACAGGAGGAACAATGCGGTTTTCGTCCTGGTCGCGGAACACTGGACCAGCTCTTTGTCCTCTCGAGGATACTTGAGGGTGCATGGGAGTTTGCCCAACCAGTCTACATGTGTTTTGTGGACCTGGAGAAGGCATTCGACCGTGTCCCTCGGGGCGTCCTGTGGGAGGTGTTGCGCGAGTATGGGGTGTCTGGCCCATTGCTACGGGCCATTCAATCCCTATACAACCGTTGCAAGAGCTTGGTTCGCATTGCCGGCAATAAGTCGGACTCGTTCCCGGTGGGTGATGGGCTCCGCCAAGGCTGCCCTTTGTCTCCGGTTCTGTTCATAATTTTTATGGACAGGATTTCTAGGCGCAGCCAAGTGGCGGAGGGCTTTCGCTTTGGTGGCCTCAGAATCTCATCTCTGATTTTTGCGGATGATGTGGTTCTGTTGGCTTCATCGGGTGAGGGCCTCCAGCTCGCACTGGAGCGGTTCGCAGCCGAGTGTAACGCAGCGGGAATGAGGATCAGCACCTCCAAATCTGAGGCCATGGTTCTCAGCCGGAAAAGGGTGGAGTGCCCACTCCGGGTCGGGGATGAGTTCCTGCCCCAAGTGGAGGAGTTCAAGTATCTCGGGGTCTTGTTCGCGAGTGATGGGAGAAGGGAGCTGGAGATCGACAGACGGATTGGGGCTGCGGCTGCAGTAATGCGGACGCTGCACCGGTCAGTCGTGGTGAAGAGGGAGCTGAGTGTAAAAGCGAAGCTCTCAATTTACCGGTCGATCTACGTCCCTACCCTCACCTATGGCCACGAGCTGTGGGTAGTGACCGAAAGAACGAGATCGCGGATACAAGCGGCGGAAATGAGCTTCCTCCGAAGGGTGGCTGGCCTCTCCCTTAGAGATAGGGTGAGAAGTTCGGCCATCCGGGAGGGGCTTAGAGTAGAGCAGCTGCTGCTCCACATCGAAAGGAGCCAGCTGAGGTGGTTCGGGCATCTGGCAAGGATGCCCCCTGGGCGCCTCCTGGGCGAGGTGTTCCAGGCATGTCCCACTGGGAGGAGGCCCCGGGGCAGACCCAGGACACGCTGGAGAGATCATATCTCTCGGCTGGCCTGGGAACGCCTTGGTATTCCCCCGGACAAGCTGGAGGAGGTGGCTGGGGAGAGGGAGGTCTGGACCTCTTTGCTTAGGCTGCTACCCCCGCGACCCGACCTCGGATAAGCGGATGAAGATGGATGGATGGATGGATGAATGAATATTCACTGTGTGACACCAAACAAATCACAAAACAAATCTTGATATTTTGTCCCTTAAATAAACGTGTGATCTTGTTTCACATTTTCTTCTTGTCCCACACTGGATTTTAGGATTTTACTCTTGAGGTAGAACCACGAATGGCATCGTGGTGATGATGATATTTATGATGATGACTGAAATGCCATAAATGCTCCTTCTTAGAAGGACATGAGATTTTATTTAATCTTATGTCTGCATATTCTTCAGCATGGTGAAAGATTGGAAATGAAGGTTGGCTGGGTGGGGCATGACAGGTCAATAGAGAGAAGATGTGTATTTGAATTCCTCTCTTTTTTGTCCTGATGCTGCCTGATTCATTTCTGGAACTGCTCAAAAGTCACCTTTTTCTGAAAGATACAAGTATGTTACTGTGTATGAACAGAAAATAGTGAACTAAATACTTAGATTAAGTTTCTGCAAAGGCTTAAAATCCTAATTGTGTCACCTTGCTTTAAACAAGGTGTTAACCAGCAGATTAAAGCTAGAGCAAACAGTCGAAACAACCCAAAGCTCATTGAATGGATTTTAAATGACCTGGGTCACAGAGTCAACACACACTCAAGGGAGACTAGAAGGATATGCAACCAAACACATCTGATGACGGAAAAAGGTGGAATCGGCTCACAAAATCTCTGCACTTGTGCTTATGTGGTTTTTGTTTAGTGTTGCTTTTGGTGACTTGAGGTTCTGTTTAGGTGTGTCAATGTGGCATTTGCGAAGAAATGCATGGGATGTGTCTTTGTCATGTATTTGTCTGTGTTGCACTTAGTTGCTCTTCCACAAGTCTTCTTTTCCTTTCATGTCTTCTGCTTACCTCGTCTGTTTCTCTGTCCTTAATGAACTCCACCTGTTTAAAGTGTTGTCTTCCTTCCTCCTGCATTCTTGTTCACCTCCACCGTTACCTTCACACTGGCTCTGTGAATGTAGGCATGACTTATGATCTTACCGCTTTCTCTTTATTTGGGCTGATACTTGAGTACTCCTTAACATTGTATCAGTCTGTGTTTCACGCTGCTACAGCATCACTACTCACCAGTCTAGACTGCATAGAGAATGATTTCTTTAATAGATATAATCTGACTTCCCTTCTTTACTTACCTGCTTTACTTCAGTTTGCTTGTAAATTTTTATTTGGCTCTTCTGACTGTTTTTCACATCATATTATGCTTCCTAGACTGGTAAGTTTGATTTCATGATGGCTGTTGACTGTTTGTCTGAGCTGATGACTGTGACTGAAATTTGTGATGTAATTTGTAATGTAATTTGTAATGCTCATCCAGTGCACGTTTTGCACACGTGCAATAGAACCCTGCTTCCTGCTAATCTGGCACAGCGGTGGCCATGTTGGTCTAATGATGGACTCGTCCTTCTCCACCCATGACGCTTGAGGTTTGTCATTTAGTCACTGATCGTCTCTCGTATCACTCTCTCTCTCTCTCTTTGATAGCGAGCAGATGATAGCATCACAATTGACACCACACTACTGGTCCATTTCTTTGGGAAGAAGGGGAAGGCAGAGCTTACCTTTGATGACTTCTACAGGTACTAGAACCGAAAGAGTGCTAACGCTAACAGTATTAACCACATGGCAGAATGGATGATTTATAGAACAATTCTCTTTTTGTCTTTTTTACTGTCCTTTCTTTCTGTTTTCAGATTTATGGATAACCTCCAGACAGAGGTGTTGGAAATTGAGTTCCTGACTTACTCTAAAGGTATGACGACTATCAGTGAAGAAGACTTTGCCAAAATCCTGCTGCGATTCACAAACGTGGAAAACATTAGTGCCTATCTGGAAAATGTCCGCCAGTGTATACCTGATGAAAAGGTACAGTATACATGTGCGCACAGTTATTTACTGGACAATTCATTGATCAGTAATGAAATAATAATGAAATTCTTCCTTCCTGTATGGGAGCTTCTACCTTCTAGACATCTAGAGTACCTGTAATTTCAAACTGTTGTCTCTGCCTGAGGCTGTTGTGGCTTTCCACACTTGAGCGCTCAATTGCTTCACTACATGTCACACACAAAAACACACATTTCACTACACTTTCAGTTGCATCTATCCATCTGTCCATCTATCTATCCATCCATCTATCTATCTATCTATCTATCTATCTATCTATCTATCTATCTATCTATCTATCTATCTATCTATCTATCTATCTATCTATCTATCTATCTATCTATCTATCTATCTATCTATCTATCTATCTATCTATCTATCTATCTATCTATCTATCTATCAAGCTGTGCTATCTAGCTAGACTTTGGCATGTAGTCCTTATGCAACCCGTCTCTATTTCTGTCCCTGCCTTCTTTCCTTTTCATGCTGTGGAAGAAGCAGGAGGTTGGTCTCTGCCTCGTATAATTCACAACCTGCAGTTACAATCTGTCAGTCTATCCTGCTATTAAGTTAATTTGCCACCTTCTCTTTTTTTCTTCATATAAGCAATGTCAAGGTTAAGATACACAGCAAGCTGTTGTATTTTAATTATTTGTATTTATTTTAATCTACATTTCATCATGTAATTTAAAAAAAAACCATTTAGTTATTTGATTAATAATATTTTATCTTCTGAATTATGCATCTGTTATAGGGTTACAGCAAGTTCACAGCAAAGAGCATGAGGTGCACCTCACAACCATTTGCTCAGATGGACTTTGGTTATTCATGATATGAAATACACAATATCCTTTATATCCTTTGTTAGTGCTGGGTGAATGCTCAATGTATGAACACATGCCATCCCAACAATTAGACTGTACATTCCAATTGGTTTTCACTTTATGCTACTTTACGGAGATGAAACACTGCAATGTGTTTTACTGTTTTTTTCAACTGCTTTGGTATATTTCTCCAAACATATCTGAAGGTCACAGAAGCTGAAAAAATGCATTTCCTTAAACAGCTCATGCATGCAGAAAAACACTATAGTTAACCTGCACAATTCATGTGTCTCTGACACTGAGTGCCAACAATACAAGGCTAATATTTTTTCCAAGGATTAGTGACAACTACAGCATGTCCTAGTGACTCTATTCACATGCTGATTTCAGGGGCGCAGTGTTTTACATTCTAATTTGTAAAGCAAAAGACCTATACATTTGCATAGCACGTAAGGAAAAACTGACTGACAACACAGCACTATACAATGAACAGAATAAAACTGAAAATCTTTTGTAGTAGAAGGAATCATCTGAACCTCTGCTGAATTTGTTTGTCTGTTTTCTCACAATTAGAGAATTGAAGAGTCTCTCATTTTTATGGTAGTTCCATTTTAATGGGCAGAGACAGAAAAAACACATAAGATCTCTTACACTCAGTGTTGGGGAGTAACGGAATACATGTTACGTATTTAAAATACAAAATATGAGTAACTGTATTCCGTTACAGTTACCGTTTAAAAAGGTGGTATTTAGAATACAGTTACTTTGCTGAAATAAAAGGATTACACGGTGGTATTTTCCTGTTTCATATGTTCGGCTATGCCCTCTCTATTTTTGGTTTCCACGCCCCAAACAAAAGGCGCATTAAGAGGCTCTAATGCCTGCGTCTCAATCTCGCGGCCCATGTCACCTCTACTTGCAGCCCGCATAATGATGTGAATATTTAAAAAAATGATTCACAAAAATGATTTCATATGAAGGCAATAGGCAGAGTGTTACAGGCATAGCCCTAAAGAATGTAGCCTCATGGGCAGTGTAGTCCGCGCTGCAGGGAGAATGAACTGCCATACCCTTGTGTGTCTGTGAGCGCGAGGAGCGAGTAAAAGGAAAAGTACGAGTTGTCACCGAGCAGAAACGGGAGCTGGAAGCATGTATATATAATAATAACAACTGCAGCCAAAAAGAGTGCCTGATGAGCCCAGTTGTAAGTAAGCTATTAAGACTCGACTATACACTTTTTTCGTGTTTTTCTCCAAAACAATAAGTTCAGTTGGAGCAGCCTTTCAACGCACAGCAAACAACCAAGTAAAGCTAGTTTTCGGCCACGAGCCCGACACGAACCTGACGTATTAGCCAGAGGTCGCTTTACTACGGTTCAGAGCCGCGGACCTGTTTTATATACGTGCTGAATAGTTTTCTATACGAGATCGCTGCAAAAAGTGTAGCCTTACCTAACGTCAACCTGCTGTTACTCATTTTATATTAAGATTTAAACATCTGATTGGTATTGGTATGGCGAATAACCTTCAGTAAAAGTAATAAATCACACAGCAATAGTACATTCATGTAGTTGTAAAAAAGCATGATAATGTAATAGGTAATCCAAAGTATTCAGAATATGTTACTCTCATTGAGTAACGTAACGGAATACGTTACAAAATACGTTTTGGGGCATGTATTCTGTATTCTGTAGTGGAATACATTTTAAAAGTAACCTTCCCAACACTGCTTACACTTACTCTTATTACTTACACTACTGACCTAAACATGTGGACAATTAGCTGGACTATTCTGCATGTGATGAGTCAACACAACATTTTATACAGTAAAAAATAAACAGAGTTTTTTATTCCAAAAAGAATCAATAAGTGTTCTGCTTAGTGATTTGCCAAATTGTATTGAAACATTTGAAAATGCCACTGTATAGAGAGCAGCTCTTTCTGAATAACAAAATGCTGTAAAAGATTTCTCATACGAACTTTAACTGCAATTTGAGAATTAAGCCAAAGCCACTGAGGAAAACGAAAAATTTTCCACATCATACACACATACGATGGTTAACCCCATGAATGACTTCTTACGTCCTTCATGAGGCCATGTCATGGAATCGCTTGAATAATCATTTAGCTTTTTAATTTTTCAGACAGATGACTAGATGCACTTTGAGGAATGCTGTATGCACGCCACTTAAATGCACCTTCACAGTCTCGCTCAAACGATATTTGTCATTTCCAAGCTTCTTTCTGTCCAGTACCTCTCCCTGCAGTTGTTTTGTTAACTGTTTCTACTTGTGTTTCAGGGAATCACCTTTGATGAGTTCAGATCCTTCTTCCAGTTTCTCAACAACCTTGAAGACTTTGCCATTGCCATGCAGATGTATAACTTTGCTGCACGCTCCATTGGACAAGGTATTAAAACTGTATTGAGCTTGAAATGCGGGCACTGAAGGTCTCTGCTTACACTCACTGATGCTGTGTTTTCTCCTTCAGGTTTTTCACTCAGCTGCACTTAGACAAATGATCAAAGTCATTTTTACTTTCTCCCCTGATAGATGAGTTTGCCAGAGCGGTGTATGTGGCCACAGGGCTCAAGCTGACACGTCACCTTGTAAACACCATCTTCAAGATCTTCGATGTCGATCACGATGACCAGCTGTCCTACAAAGAGTTCATTGGTATCATGAAGGACCGGCTGCACAGGGGAGCCAGGGTAAAGAACTTCCTTCTTTTTGAGAAAAAGTGCACTCAGCTCCAACTGAAAAATCTTTGTTTAGAAAAAGTTTGAAGCACAGCCAGTCACCAGGACACGAAAAAGGAACCACTTTTGAGAAATATACCTCCCTTCGCAGAAAGGTCTGAGGTCAAGTGGGTTCCAGAGCACTTACAAAGAGACAGGTTTCTCATTAAGATTTAGGGTGTACTCCCACTTGACCAGTTGCCTTATACTCTGCCTGAGTACTGAGCACCCAAAGGCAGCTATAGTTTGGGAGTTCTATGGCCAGATGTAAACTACAGATGAACTGTACATGTGTAGCATGCCTGAGCCCAACTGAACCGCACATGGGCACATGGGCACATACTCCATTAACACAAACAACCTACAGAACCTAAAAGATCTGCTGCTGAACTTCCAGATACCACGAGGCGCCTTCACAGCCTATGACAGCAAAGCGTGTAATAGACACACTGGTCTGCTGTGTCCAGTTCACACTTTACCTCTCTAAAGCATGAAATGGAGACGCAAGTTGCAACAAGGGAAGAAAATATATGTAAAGCCATAAAGTCCACAGTGACCAAGAAAGGTATAAAGTACATTCTAAGCTCCCACTATGCCAGAAATTATTAAGCTAAGTGGCTAATTTGCTCATGAATGCATTAGTAATGTCTCTTTAAATGCTTTACTTTGATTATTTTCATGTTGGCCTGAAATGAAATATCTCCCTCTACTGGTACTGCAGCTTACTGCAGCTTCTGCATGCGTGCCCATTTCACGCTTTGGAGAGGCAAAGTGTGAAATGGACACTGTGGACCGGCGTGTCTATTACACGCTATGCCATGATACCAGGTTGTGTGCACGCCTTGCTTTAGTGGGTCAAAGCTGTTTTGGTGGCACCCAGAGGACCAGAAGAACGGTGTAGTCCAAGCATCTGGGTTCTCAAGTATAAACTCTGACATCCAGCATTACCCAAAAACTTGGTCGAGGTGAAGTTACAATTTCAAAGTTAGCCACATAAACAAATTACAGGGATTTAAAGCTATAGGATGTGTTATTTCTTGAGCATTTTAGATTCAAAAAAGAAGAGCTGAAATTTAAAACATGGGAGCTTCTTGTTGCCTGTTTCATTATAGAATAACAAATCAGTCTCTACCTTAAATGCAAACTAGCTTTACCTGTGCCAGGATTTAGTGTCACAGAGTAACAAAAAAACAGGAAATCCAAAACTACAATTATTATTGTTATTCAGCTGTTTCTTAAACCTTTTTTGTAGAAGAAGTTCTGCTGGTACAACTAAGCCATCCTTTACTCATGACTGTTTGTGCTCTTCAGTTGCAGTCAAGTAGTTAAGGTAAATCAACAGTTACCCAAAACAAAAGAAAAATGCATTTAACATACACACATGATAACAGGGTTAAAAATATTGATGAAAAACTTTTAGTAAGCATCAGGAATGTAACAAAAAAAAGCTTAAATGGAAGATAATTTGAAGGCTTGTGGGTTGGAAATCACCTATAAGCAATTTGGTGATGCTGTCAGAAAAGGCCATACTGCCCCCCAGTGGTGGATTTTGATGCAATAACACTGCTCAGATCCTTTTTTTCTACAGAGGTTGTCATGTGATAATAAACTTGGCACCACTGTAGGCCTGGATGTTGCACTTTATATGGTCCCGTATGTCCCTTTTGATGCTGTCTTGGTCTCACTGTCTTGGCTTTTTAACAGTGTTCTCTTTTGTCCTTACTTTGCTGATGTACCTCTCTCTTCATCTCCTTTCTAACCCATGCTTTTTTCCCTATTGTCATGAATTTACCACACTTATACTTTTGTTTTTCTCACCTTCCATGTGCCCACCACTTTTGCGATTGTTTTCCTGTCTTCCTGCCTCACTCTGGCTGTCTACACACATCTCAGGGCTATAAAGCTGTGGAGCGTGCTACCTCCTTCAGGTCCTGTCTGAAGAAGGAGCTGGCAAGCAGATAAGTATCACTAACAGCTACAGTTCAAGGAGTTTGTTCGTTGTTATTTCTAGAGTTGCAGGTAGTTTCTTGACTTGAATTCAGTCTGGATTATGACTTCTTTTGCGTGTCTGATTCACCTGAACTGTTTAGCCTTATTACAATGTATCTACAGAATGGGTTTTCATATAATTCATAGAGTATACTGTACAATATTTTGTGAACCTGTATGTGTAAGAGTAGGAGCAGTAGGTTGCTGAATATCTTCAGTAATATCTGAGGGCATTTTACTCCACTGTGATACTTTAAAAACTGCCACTGTGTCCCAGTAGTTGCCATATTTTAGTTGACTGTACATTTTGAATAAAGTTTAAAGGTAGTGAGTTGTTGAAGTGAACTGCGTCCGATTGCTCTGTGGTTACCAGGTGAAGGGCAGACAGCACACCTCCTTCTCCAGATGTGTTCGCTCTGAGACAGGTGCACCTGTTGTGGAGGAGGTACAAGGAGCCATAGAGAGTGGACGAAATCTGATGGAGCTTCGACGTTAATTAATCAGGAGGAGCCAGTATTTGTGGAGCAGTTCTCCTGTCGACCTTCAGACTGTACATATGTGATTACTGCAAGCATGACCGCACAAAGCCGACTGATTCTCTCTGTGATGATAATAAGTGTCATTCTTTTTGTCTTTTTTTTTTTGTTGCCCTGTTTCCAGTCATCCATCCATCCATTGATCTGATGTCAGTTATCCTGGGTATGATTTACATGTAGTTAAATGTTGATTTGTTACGATAGAAATTTAATGTCTGTTCTAACGCGATACCTCCACAATGGTGGGAACTTTGTCATTTTGTTTTTTATAATAAGGAGGAGAACTTTTGGTTAACACCCTGAAATCTATAGGCCCAAAAGTTGCTTTCTTTACTTTAATTATTGCATTTATTAAAAACTTGCTTTGTTAGTTCCGCTACAGCACTGCAATCTATAGGAGCACAAGAATCTTTAAATGAGTTCTAGGGGATTAAAGTAACATCCATATAAAACTGATAACAGTTATACAATATGAAACCTGCATGTTGCTGAAACTATATAATTAATTGAATATGTTGTGGATCTGTAATGTCCTCAACTCATTTATATTATGTTAAGCAGTAGTTCCATCTAACCCCTTACTTTTTGTTGCACGAACAGTATGACTCACACTACTGTTGCAGTTAGGAATGCTTTATTATCTTAATACTACAGCAGGTCTTGGTATGAAAAATGTATTTCAATATTTTTTCGGGGTGAATGTTTTTGCCTCTTTCGTGTTTCCTGGTTTCCTAGTATTCATAAGTAGATGCACACATAGGTGCCTTTGATCCACCCCCCTTTTCCAAAGCAATTCACGAGTTTTTGAGCTTTTAATTTCAAATACAAAACTTATGCATTGATGACTACACGTTGTCTTAGCATGACATATGTCTGATAATTGGAACATCAAGTTGAATTGTCTTAATGTATTATAAATTGTTCTGATATTTAAAACGATCATTTAAATGTAACGAGTGCGTTTGTTTGATTAATTTCATGCACGAATAAACTATTTTAAGAAAACACGCGAATTTCTTCTCTGTCCCTGAGCATGCGCAACAAAACAAAACGTTAATAACTGGGGAGTCTCCTGGCTATCTGGCTTTATTTTAAAGCTTTTAAAAATTGAGACTGTTTCTTTAAGACAAAGCGAATGTGCTGTTGGACAACATGCTGGTGAGTAGTTTGTTTCAAAGATGATTAAAAATATTTTTATAGAAAGAAAATTGAGATGGAGGCGTGGTGTCTCTGGGTGAAAACATTTATGTTAGCCGATAATTAGCTACAGCCTGTTTAAAATGTAGTTAAAAATACTGTCGACTGAGCCTTTTGTGGCGCACTTTTATTTTAGTTTTCGCCCTTAGTGTGTTGCTTTTAGTTGAAGGTGAAACTATTTCACCTAGCTTTTTCAGTTAAAGTTAGGCGTCCGTGTTGAAGTCATTCGACGCCTAGTGAGTTTTTCTAGGATGTTGTGTACTAATGTAACGGAGTTCTTTTTATTTTTATTATTTTAAGCAAAAATTAACCGAAATATAAATTTTGGCAGTCTTCTAAACATTGAATATCGCGTGACGATTAAACTCTGTTAGCCAATGAAATGCTGCCCTCGTGTGTCGTAACAAGGGTAGCTGCGGTGCTACACGTACAGATTCGACGTCTTATATTACAAAAGAAAAAACAATAGACGTGTCTCTTTTTTGTGATTTATGTATCGTTAATATTTTAACCAATTGTTACAAGTTTAAACTTTTTTTTAATTAAACAAATTGTAATAGTGGTTTCTAAGCGGAACGCTTCCTCTTTTCCAGATTCATGTCAGGAGTATAATAAGCGATGCACCACACAACATTTATTTAAACTTAAGGTTACTGCTATTTCCATGATCAACGCATTGTGTCTTTCAATTTTTATGTTATTCACAACTGTATATTTAAGGGAAACAATAAAAATAACGGTTGTTACAGATTTTTGAGTGAAAATAAATAAATTCGTATAGTGATGTATGCGATTGCTTTCGCAAAGCATTGTGGGACTGGAAACTGGATTTTAAAACTTAAATAAACAGCTTTAGCCACACTTTTAGATCTACTTGCATAATCGTAGCTCTGTAAAAGTTATAGTCTACTAACTCCTCGCGGACTGATCGTTTAGGTCATGTTTAACAGTTGACATAAACCGTGAGTGAGAATGGCGTTCCCGAGAATCACTTCTTGCTTCGACCCAGAGTTTCGTTAAGACTATACTTTCAGGGATCATTTCTATAGTTTCTAACTTGAGAAATGTGTTTCTAAAGTGTTTGGTCTCGCTAACCACGATGAAGAGTCGTGATATTCCCTTCTGAGCGTGAAGCGGATAGAGAATAATGATTCAGTTCATACGTTCTCTGTCATTGATGACCGGTCTTTACTTCCTTGTGGAGTAATGAGGAAGGGAATATGATCAGAGTGGTTACGAATAGTGTGCAAAAATTATACATGGTATTAAAGTACCTAATTTTGATAACCTTTATCTATAGCAGTGATGAATGTTAAAATAGCTTGAGTTTCAGTGGAACAGTTTACCTCATCTCTAGAACAAGTCTCAAATTAACTCTTTTAAGTCATGTGTACTTAAATTGTGCATTAAAAAAGTCCCTCGTGCTTGAGGGACATTTACACAACCTATCTTATTTGTCAGTAAGAGACTGGCCTTTTGAATCTTTTCTGCTTCAACAGAATGTCGCCACAATCACAAAGTCACTTTTGTAACCTTTATTTACACGTCAGGTTCCCTAATAACTTTTATAAAATTGATCTGTTAGTCTGGCCGTTCTCTCCTGTACATTTGCTGTCAGTATTGTTAGAGGTATCCAGTGATTGGATGTGCTACATAGTATTATTTGCATAAACACAGTTGATTGGCCAAAACATGGTAACAGGCGGAGCGTATTGAATGTCAAAGAGGAACCCTGAGTGCGGAAGACTTTACAGAAAAGCACATGCAGTTTCCACATGTAAATACACTAAGACTATACTTTCAGGGATCATTTCTATAGTTTCTAACTTGAGGAATGTGTTTCTAAAGTGTATGGTCTCGCTAACCACGATGATGAGTCGTGATATTCCCTTCTGAGCGTGAAGCGGATAGAAAATAATGATTCAGTTCATACGTTCTCTATCATTGATGACCGGTCTTTACTTCCTTGTGGAGTAATGAGGAAGGGAATATGATCAGAGTGGTTACAATGGGTACAAAAGAAATCATATAAAGCTATGTTTTCAGCAGAGATGGTTTCCTGTGGCAGGAACAGGTACTACATAAAAGTGTTGTCTTCATTCTTTTTGTTAACACCATTTTGTGAAATAACCGTACAGCCAGTACTTTTAAAATATAAAACAGGGCTTCTTATCATACCCAAGTATCAATAATTATTATCAACACATGATTGTCATGTCATTTTTGAGAGTTTTATGGATTTTATTCTCACCTACTTTGTATGTAGACTGAGTAGATCCCAATAATCTTTCTTACAGATGTTTCGACACTGCTGCATTTTGTGTAGGAAGGAAAATATATTCCGGCAACAAAACCAAATTTATATAGACAACAGAAAAAACAAACAAACAAAAACCTTCCCCCAAAAACAAATTAAGAACAAATTACACAAGGAGGAGGACGAATCCAAGGCCTTCAGCATCGAGCCAGACCGGACTAGCTGAATCCGTACTGATAAAAAAAGAATACCCAGTTCTACTTTAGCACACTGATTACCTGCAGGCCTTACTGAGATATTCAAGTGATAGATTCGGCCCACGGAAACATGTGAAATTGTTTTTTTATTGGAAGTTAAAAAAAAATCTCAAACATGAAGTGAGAACAGGTCTGAATCAAACCTTTTTGTCCAGTCATGTGTTTGTTTATTGTACATAGAACAAAAAAAAACACATTTAAATTCCAGGTCTACAAAAACAATTTCAGAACATGTATGTGTAAAAGATGTGTAGTTATACTTTTTATGTTTAGTTACGCTTACTATACTACAGTTAAAGAATTCATAATAAACATATTCATGATGCACTCACTTCATAAATCATGAGCCAACTTTATAAGTTAAAAATATCAGTAGTCGGGTCAGCTGTGTCTCTCTGTTGTCTAATAATCTGTCTGTATGTGAAGGAACCTGCAAGTTAGCACAGTCTATTTATGTACTCAGATTGCTAAACCACCTTATATTTTTTGTACTTCATGTTTGAGGGACACTTACACAATCTGTCTAATTTGTCAGTGAGTGAGAGGCGGGCCTTTTGAATCTTTTTAGCTTCAACTGAATGGCGCAACCATCACACTTTTGTTTACTTTTATTTACACGTCATGTTCCCTAAAAACTTTTATAAAGTTGATCTGTTAGTCTGGCCGTTCTCTCTTGTATGTGATTGGATGTGCTACACAGTATTATTTGCATAAATACAGATGATTGGCCAAATCGTGGTAACAGGCGGAGCTTATTGAAAGTCAGAGAGGAACCCTGAGTGATGAAGACTTCACAGAAAAGCAGATGCAGTTTTCTGATGTTAGCACACTAAGACTATACTTTCAGGGATCATTTCTATAGTTTCTAACTTGAGAAATGTGTTTCTAAAGTGTTTGGTCTCGCTAACCACGATGAAGAGTCGTGATATTCCTTTCTGAGCGTGAAGCGGATAGAGAATAATGGTTCAGTTCATATGTTCTCTGTCATTGATGACCGGTCTTTACTTCCTTGTGGAGTAATGAGGAAGGGAATATGATCAGAGTGGTTACTAAAACTGTTTAAATAAAACTGAATGATTGGTTTATACACTGCTACAGTAGTATTACTCCGTGTTAATGGCAATCTGAGCCTTTCCTTAATGTCACTTCTCAGTGGCACTTCTGTGAAATCACCTTGCACAGTTCAAAACCGGTGATACTTATACCAAATTATTAATGATCAACATGTTTTTCATATCTTCAGTAGATTTAAATGCCTGCTACTTTGTATGTGGGCTGAGTAGGCCCCAGTAAGCTTTGTAAAAGATTTTTCAACTACGGTGGCATCAAGTGTGATCAAATGTTGCTAATTATGCTGATGGAAAATGAAGATGAACAAGAGAAAATCAAATGTCTACATTTGTCATGTTTAACATATTTCGGGGTTCAGTTAGTGTCTTTTTGGGCAGTTTACCTCTTTAGCCTTGGAAACGCTGCAAGTATACATAGGTAGGCTAACCTATAAATATGAGGATATATGACTTATCATTCCTTCCAATCTAAAGGATCATGTGTCCTTGGAACAGATGCAGCCGTGGGCTATTTTTTGACCTCCACAGCTGCATCAGCAAACTGTCCTTTGCTTCTGCTGCTGGAGTTGATGACTTTTAACATTTCAAGGAATTTATGTTGTTATCTGTTTTGTTCTCCACTCTGCTAGTCAAACTTTTAAGCAGGAACTAAGCCAGCAGTTGAAACTGGGGCAAAGCGCACCAAAACCTATATTACTTATGGTCATGTAACACGGGTGTTTCGAACTACACTTTGTAGCAGCGTTTCAAAACATCTGCTTAACACGCTGCTAAAACATAAATATCGAGTCCCATCCCTTTCCATCCTACACACTAGAGGTAGTTCTCAGAGGCATGTCTCAGTGTTATGGAGCAAGAGGATTGACCAACATTGGTATTTTCTCTCCTCTGTGTCTAGTGTGTTGCTCTGGTTTCATCAAACAGCAGATTTACGCAGCTCCTCTAATGCGCACACTCTTTGCTCCTCTGTCTCTTTACATCCTCTGTATTTATGTTCTTTGCATAAACACAGATGATTGGACGAGACATGGCAACTGCACAAGGTTTATAGAATAGCAGAGAAGAACCCTGACTGATGAAGACTTTACTGAAAACCACATGCAGTTTACACATGTGAGCACACTAAGACTATACTTTCAGGGATCATTTCTATAGTTTCTGACTTGGGAAATGTGTTTCAAAAGTGTACTGTCTCGCTAACCACGATGATGAGTCACGATGTTTCCTTCTGAGCATGAAGCTGGTGGAGAATAATGATTCATTTCATTCTCTCTATCATTGATGATTGCTCTTTGCTGAGCACTGAGGAAGGGAACATGATCAGAGTGGTTATAAGAGTGTTAAAAAGTAGTAAAGTGTGATTTAGTTGTTTTCTTGGATGCTTGTGTTTAAAGTTTCTGTTACAGACACTGTTACCTTATTAAAAAGTCATCTTAGTTGTTGCACTGAAATCTTAAAAGAGGACTGAGGACTGTTGGAGTGTCAGGTTAGTAAATTAGAAAGAAAAAAAAGTTATACATCCTTAAATGTTATCCAGGTGCTTTTACACAGTCTTACTTCTTAATGACTCAGAGACATGAACCTTTTGAATCTTTTCAACCTGAAACAAATAGTCTTTTTCATTAAGTCATTGCTTTGTAACCTTTATTTACCATCCCTCTTACCTGTTTTTTTTTTTCTTTTATTTAGTGCTGTCATTCTCTCTTACATGTTTGTACGGTGTTTTTTACATAGACTGGAGGAGCATGAAGCTGATAGACAGTTTTATTTCATGTGTTGTCTGTTATTGACAATCAGAGTGGTTACGCAGCCATGCCAAGAGTAAAATTACATTAATTCTTTCGAACGGAAAAGCCTCTGAACCTGCTTTTAAAATGTGCTTTATTTTAGTGATTAGAGTTAAGCACCAAACCAGCAAACATCTGTAGGTTTCTATCACCTGGCTCTGATGACAGAGTCCACATTTTACATGCGTTACAAGTGGTGACTGTGATGGTGACTACTGAATTCTATTTCCACGTGGGCTACCTTGCATGGGATGATTGTACCTGTGTTTTTAGTGCTATAACCTCAGCTTGGTGAAACATATTTAAAGCATTTCCTATAACCCCTCAGATCATATTCCCTTTGTCAAAGCTCTGAAAAGAAGTAATGAACATTGATTAATGACAGAAAACACATCCAACAAAAAAAAAAAAGAAAAAACAAGAATTATGCGCCTGAAGTCAAGGTTTATTTGAATTCTGCTAGTTTAGAGAGAAAATGGGGTTACAGGTTGTTTGTTTTTTTGGAGTTGTGGTCCTAAACTCTTGATCAGCTGTAAACAGCCTGTTTCTGTTTAAGCCTTGTTTTTAATAAATTGCATTCTCAAAAAAAGTTTGCTTGAAGAGCTGGTAGACTGACAACATTTAGTCCAAGTTTAAGAAATTCTTCTTCAACAGACTCATCTCTGTCACTCACTAAAAAAAGAAAATTTGTTTAAAGTCCCTAAAATAACCATTTGTTGTTTTTTTTAGTTAATACAACCACAGAATTCTACTTACACATGAAGAAACTTGATTGTACCTGTGCTTTTAGTGCTATGACACCAGCATTGCTTAGAACCACTCAGATCATGTTCCCTTTGTCAAAGCTCCAAAAATTAGCAATGAACAGTCATCAATAACAAAACACATGACAAAGTCACAGTTGTCTGTCATTTTCATGCTCAAAAGGGAACATCTCAACTAATCATCGTGGTTAGCGAGACCATACACTCTAGAAACACATTTCTCAAGTCAAAAACTATAGAAATGATCTCTAAAAGTACAGTCTTAGTTAAGCAATGCCCAGAAAGAGCTAGTGATTCCCAGGACAATCACTCTCACTAATGGTTTGCCTCAGCTTTCAAAGCTGGTCAAACATGAACATTAGCTCAGACAATGAGACGTAAATGCAGTTTGAAATTTGGTAACTGCTGTTCTATGTAAAATGTGTCCTTTGTCACCACCTCGAGGTGTGGCAGAGGTTGGCATCCTAGACACTCAAAAGTAAAATATCCAATCTAAAAAAGTGAATGTAATTTTACATTTTGCATGGTTCTGTAACCAAACATACAGCATTTTGCAGTTGCAGATACCATTCTCCAAACCTGAAGGCAATGCGTTACGTGATGTGCTATCATCATTGTTCCACAGAGTGAGACTGTCAATGCAAAGTTCAGTGCACTTACTGAAATTAAAAACCAAGATCTGCAAATACACAAGTGCAAGGGAGCATAATGTGTGATCTAAAAATAGCAGCCAGAGGTGTGCAAGAAGACCTTAATTCAATTCAATATTTTATTGTCCCACAACACGAAATTAGTATAGCACCAAGGGCAACAATAAGAATAAACAAAACAATAACAAAAAGCCACAAGACAGTTATTTTCCATTAAAGAGATGGGTTCAGTAAGGATAAAAGAAACCTCAAGTTTTTTGGTCTTCCTCACAGGTACTCTAAAACAACAGCCAGAGGGCAACAAGTCAAACTCAGTGTGAAGTGAATGGTTAAAACAATTAACAATAGAATGAGCCTTCCTCAGCGCATGCTTGTTATAAATGGTCAAAAGTCTGTCTTGCCAATGCCCTGAGATTTTGCTGGCAGTTTTTACCAAAAGTCCCAACTGATTCTTGTTCTTCAGAGTCACGTTACCAAACCAAGCAGCGATACAGAAAGAAATAACAGATTCAGTAAAACTTCTGTAGAGCAAGGACAACATTTCAGATGAGACAGTAAAGATTTAATATTCCTTAAATGTGAGATTGGCCAAATTTTGATCAGGTAATGCTCTTAGTTTTCACAAATCTGCTGTCAGAACATTTTAATCCCGCCTGATAGGTGGAAAAGTGGACTTTAGATATTTTCAGACTTTTTGAAAGCCAGTATCATCATCAAAGACCCCTCGCACCCTCGACACTCACTTTCCCCCCCCTTCCCTCTGGTAAACGCTACAGGTCCATCAGGTCAAAGACAAACAGACTCAATAGAAGCTTCTACCCACAGGCTGTCAAACATGCCCTACCTCCGCCCTTATTGGAGGATAACTGCACTGCCAACACTCTTGGACATGACCTCTTTAAACAGTATTTATTATAACCATATTTATTATAGTAGCAACAGTATCCCCCCCGCCAAACACACACACTCAATGTGCAATAGCACTGATCACACTGCACCTCACAATGCACATGCTCCTCATGTATGTGTATGTATATATATGTAAGCGTGTATGTGGAAGTTTGTGTGTGTGTGTATATACATATATGTATGTATCTGTATGTATGCATGTATGTAGCCATATGTATGCATGTGTATGTATAAATTGTACATATCTTTCTTGTGTAAATGTAAATGCCTGTGTTATTGTGTAGATTTACAGAAAGATGCCAAACTGTGTTTCATTGTTCTTGTAACAGTGACAATAAAGAGGTATTCTATTCTGTTCTAAGTTCCCTTGCACTTGTGTATCTGCAAATCTTTTTTTTTCAGTAAGTGCATTGAACTTTGCACTGACAGTCTCATTCTGTGAAGCAATGATGATAGCACCTCAAGTGCGTTCAGATTGGAGACTGCTATCTGTAACTGCAAAATGCTGTATGTGTGGTTACAGAACCATGCAGAAAGTAAAATTACACTCATTTTTTAGATTGGATATTTTACTTTTGAGTGTCTAGGGTGCCAGCCTCCGCCACACCTCGAGGTGGTGACAAAGGACACATTTTACATAGAACAGCGGTTACCAAATCAAAACTGCATTTAAGTCTGAGCTAATGTTCATGTTTAACCAGTTTTGACAGCTGGGGCAAACCATTAGTGAGAATGACTGTCCTGGGAATCACTAGCTCTTTCTGGGCATTGCGTAACTAAGACTGTATTTTTAGGGATCATTTCTATAGTTTTTGACTTGAGAAATGTGTTTCTAGAGTGTGTGGTCTCGCTAACCATGATGATGAGTTGTGATTTTCTCTTTTGAGCATGAAGCTGATAGAGTAGTGCTGTACTGCACATGGTCTGTCATTGATGATTACCTTTTGCTCTACTGTAGAGCACTGAGGAAGGGAATTTGATCAGAGTGGCTCTAGAAGAGTTAAAAGAACCAGTAAATTTATTTTATTTTGTCTACTGATTACTCCCACATATGTAGTTATGGGCTTCGGTCATGGTTTAAGACATTGTGACATTTAATGGCCATGTGAACAACTGCATCTGAAATGTGCACTATTTACAATTTCTGGTCATTTCCAAATTTTAACTTCCTGGCAAACGATCACAGTAATGCCAGCTACAGATTTTGGATTGAGTAAATGGTATTATATTTAACTGCTTTTACCAACCATTGATGCTCTCAATACTGGATTTAAATGTTACGTAATCAACTCTAACTTCAGATTTATCTGCGCCAATGTTACTGTAATTACGTACAACAGTAATAGTTCATTAACTTCTCATTAACTCAAGACTTTGGCCATGTTTGACAGCTGAGGCAAACCATTAGTGAGAGTGACTGTGCTGGGACTCAATAGCTCTTTATGGCCATTGCTTAATTAAGACTGTACTTTCAGGGATCATTTCGATAGTTTTTGAAATGTATTTCTAGAGTGTATGGTCTCGCTAACCGCGATGATGAGTTGTGATGTTCGCTTTTGAAAATGACAGACAACCATGATTTTGTCATGTGTTTTGTTATTGATGACTGTTCATTGCTAATTTTTGGAGCTTTGACAAAGGGAATATGATCTGAGTGGTTCTAGGAAATGCTTTAAATATATTTCACTAAGCTGGTGTCATAGCACTAAAAGCACAGGTGCAATCATTCTATGCAAGTCCCTTCATGTGTAAGTCGAATTTAGTAGTTGTATTAATAACTGAAAATGAGAAAACAAATGCTTATTTAAGGGACTTTACACACATTTTATTTTTTTAGTGAGTGACAGAGACAAGTGTTGAAGAAGAATTTCTTACACTTGGACTAAATGTTGTCAGTCTACCAACTCTTTAAGCAGGTAGAGACATCTAGTGGCCACTTGTATTATTGGTGTCAGATAATAGTTTGTTGAAATAAAAACCAAGATTTCTAGATACACAAGTGCATGGGAGCATAATTATGGGAGTCTAATGAATTAGACTAACTATTCACTTTAGCTAAAGTTATTAAGTCAGCTAAAGAGTTAGGATGCTGTGTAAGACATAAATAAAGCTAAAATACAAAGGTTTGGACACTGTTTTGCATGTTTCCCTACTGTAGGGGTCTCTGCAAGCATACAGGACTCTGAGAGGGTGCAAGATGACAACTTTGGAATTCTACTAGAAACAGTCGATCATATTTGTTTGTCAAAGCTGAATTCAGGGCAAACTACGCTAAATTAGCGTTTTGAGCTAACAGCTACAATAAGCATAAAAGTTACTGTACGGCTATCATTTGTTAACATGACGCTTGTTCTTATACATGTAATACATTTATTACCAACCTGAGAGTTTATCCGCTGGTCATTCGACATAACAAATGACTTCTGATGTCTTAATTCAGCTCAAGATGCTGTAGATTCCCGTCAGTAACACTTTCGGTCCGCTAGTAAAACGTAGTTCTATTAATCTGCGCTCGATTACTCTTGAACCAAAACCGGATGTAAGTCCCAAAAAACTGAATTTTGGAACTGAAATTGAATTGTAGAACTGAAACTGAATGGTGAGAAGTGAATCTGAAATTATTCGAGAGCTACATTTTTAAAGGATAAAATACGGTTTCAAAGCAAATGAATTCATTTTCAAAATATAAAATTCAATTTCAATTAAGTGATGATCATTTTCGAACCAATAAATTGAATTTCAAATTAGGCTAATTCATATTCAGTTTTTAAAAGCATTTATTCAACTTATAATTCAGAATTCAAATTTAACTTATTCAAAAAGTTTCTGATGGCACAGATTTCTGCCCATACATAATGTATGATCTATAAATAGCAGCCAGAGGTGTGCAAGAAGAAGACCTTAAATGTGAGATTGGCCAAATTTCGATCAAGTAATGCTCTTTGTTTTAATCCCACATGATAGGCGGACAAATGGACTTGAATGTTAATCTAGTCATCTAGTGCCCACTTGTATTATTGGTCTAGGGTTAACAATTTATTTGATAATTTCAGCTTAGCACTGACCTTTATTTGACCATTAAAACCAGAAATTACCAGATGGAGAAAAAAAACAGCAACACAAATTCTTTAATCTTAAACAGGACTTCCACTCTTATCTGATTCACTATCTCACTGAGCCACAGGGAAGTAATAATGAGCTATTAAACAGATAAATGTTACACAAATTTTTCAGTGCCTGTTTAACACTTCTACAACCACTCTGATCATATTCTCGCTCTTACTGCTCCAAAGTAGAGCAATAAGCAATCATCAATAATGAAACAGCACAACACTTTGTCATCAACTTCATGCTCAAAAGAGAATATCACAACTCATCATTGTGGTTAGCGAGACTATACACTCTGGAAACACATTTCTCAAGGCAAAGCCTATAGAAATGATCCCTGAAAGTATAGTCTCAGGTTACAGGAGGGTTAAAACTGCATCTCATTCATGGTAGCATCATTCTTACTCACGGTTACTTCAGTGGCTCATCCAAAGATACCAGTGCTTTTCTTCCTTATTTTAAGAAATAGTTAAGAAATGTGCCACTAAAACACATTTACTTATTTATTTGATAGATTTGAGGGTTTTTTTTAAGTTTATGGTGTGGCAATCAAATTGAGTCATCCTCATGAGTCGTAGTCCTGTCTGACTGAGAATTTTTTTCTGTTCTCTTTGCTTAAAATCTAGCTGTTCTCTATCATATTGAGAGTATCTCGCTCCACTCCGTTACATATTCCATATATACGGGGTTGAGAGATAGTCTCTTGCTCAGAGAACCAAGGTTACAGTGTAACCATACGTTACCCCCAACATTTGGTGACTTTTATCTAAAAATTAATTTTCCAGAATGATGTTTGCTTAATCATTTTTTAGAACTCTCACGATTGCATGACACACTATACTAAAACTCATGTAAGTTAAGACTACACTTTCTATAGTTTCTGATTTGAGAAATGTGTTTCTAAAGTGTATGGTCTTGCTAACCACGATGATTACTTGTAATACTTCTAAGCATGAAATAGATACAACATCTAACATTTTATCTAAAAATTTATTTCTCAGAATGAAGTTTGCTTGACCATTTTTTTTAAAACACTCATGATTGAATGACACACTATACTAAAAATCATAACAAACAGACAAACAGTAACATTAGACAATGAGACGATTTCTAAAAGATCAACACCCTGAGTGAGAATAATTGTACTGAGAGTGACTTGTTGTTTCCATTGGCAGTTTTGTTAAGACTATACTTTCAGGGATCATTTCTATAGTTTCTGACTTGAGAAATGTGTTTCTAGAGTGTATGGTCTCGCTAACCACGATGATGAGTTGTGATATTCTCTTTTGAGCATGAAGCTGATGACACAGTGTTGTGCTGTTTCATCATTGATGATTGCTTATTGCTCTACTGCAGAGCAGTGACAAAGGGAATATGTTCAGAGTGGTTGTAGAAGTGTTAAAAAACAAAACAATTGCTGAAAAATATTTATGTAGCATCTATTTACTTATTGGTCAGTGCTTCTCTGTAGCACATTGAAGACAAGAGTGGGAGTCTTATCTAAATTTAAAAAACCTTGTTTGTTGTTTTGCACCTGGTGATTTTTTGTTTTAAATGGTCAAATAAAGATCAGTGCTAAATAGAATTATCTAATACAGTGGTTCTCAGAACAAATATTGCTTAAATAATTTTCTTTCCACTAAGCAATGTATCAAAACTACATCTAAGCCAGCATCACTACAGTCATAGATAAAAGCAGTCAAGCCAATATTTTTTTTTGTACATTCATGCAACCACTCACACATTTCTCAAATCAGAAACTATAGAAAGTGTAGTCTTAACTTACATGAGTTTTAGTATAGTGTGTCATGCAATCGTGAGAGTTCTAAAAAATGATTAAGCAAACATCATTCTGGAAAATTAATTTTTAGATAAAAGTCACCAAATGTTGGGGGTAACGTATGGTTACACTGTAACCTTGGTTCTCTGAGCAAGAGACTATCTCTCAACCCCGTATATATGGAATATGTAACGGAGTGGAGCGAGATACTCTCAATATGATAGAGAACAGCTAGATTTTAAGCAAAGAGAACAGAAAAAAATTCTCAGTCAGACAGGACTACGACTCATGAGGATGACTCAATTTGATTGCCACACCATAAACTTAAAAAAAATATCTCAAATCTATCAAATAAATAAGTAAATGTGTTTTAGTGGCACATTTCTTAACTATTTCTTAAAATAAGGAAGAAAAGCACTGGTATCTTTGGATGAGCCACTGAAGTAACCGTGAGTAAGAATGATGCTACCATGAATGAGATGCAGTTTTAACCCTCCTGTAACCTGAGACTATACTTTCAGGAATCATTTCTATAAGGTTTGCCTTTAGAAACGTGTTTCTAGAGTGTATGGTCTTGCTACCCACGATGATGAGTTGTGATATTCTCTTTTGAGCATGAAGCTGATGGAGTAGTACTGTGATGCACATGTTCTTTGTCATTGATAATTGCTTATTGCTCTACTGTGGAGCAGTAAGAGCGAGAATATGATCAGAGTGGTTGTAGAAGTGTTAAACAGGCACTGAAAAATTTGTGTAACATTTATCTGTTTAATAGCTCATTATTACTTCCCTGTGGCTCAGTGAGATAGTGAATCAGATAAGAGTGGAAGTCCTGTGCTGTGTTGCTGTTTTTTTTCCATCTGGTAATTTCTGGTTTTAAATGGTCAAATAAAGGTCAGTGCTAAGCTGAAATTATCTAATAAATTGTTAACCCTAGACCAATAATACAAGTGGGCACTAGATGACTAGATTAACATGCAAGTCCATTTGTCTGCCTATCATGTGGGATTAAAACAAAGAGCACTACTTGATCAAAATTTGGCCAATCTCACATTTAAGGTCTTCTTCTTGTACACCTCTGGCTGCTATTTATAGATCACACATTATGCTCCCTTGCACTTGTGTATCTGCAAATCTTGGTTTTTATTTCAATAAGCTATTATCTGAGACCAATAATACAAGTGGTCACTAGATGTCTTGACCTACTTGAAGAGCTGGTACACTGACAACATTTAGTCCAAGTGTAAGAAATTCTTGTTCAACAGACTGGTCGCTGTTACTCACTAAAAAAAGAAGAACAGTTCATATAGAGACTTTCGACAAGTTTTTTTTTCTGATTTGTTAATACAGCAACTACTCTGCTTACATATGAAGGGGCTTGCATGGGATGGCTGAACCTGTGTTTTCTGTGGTTAAAGCATTGTCTAATAACAACTCAGATCATATTCTCTTCATCAAAGCTCAAAAAAGGAAACATCGCAGCTAATTATGTCAAGTCAATACACGCTAGAAACACAATCCTTAAATCAAAAACTATAGAAACAATCCCTAAAAGTACAGTCTTAGCTAAGCAATGCCCAGAAAGAGCTAGTGATTCCCAGGACAGTCACTCTCACTAATGGTTTGCCTCAGCTGTCAAAACTGGTCAAACAGTAACATCAGCTCAGATAATGAGACGTAAATGCAGTTTGAAATTTGGTTCTATGTATGTTGTGTGCTGTTCTATGTAAAATGTGTCCTTTGTCAGCACCTCGAGGTGCGGCAGAGGTTGGCACCCTAGACACTCATAACTCATAACAAACAGACAAACAGTAACATTAGATAATAAGACGATTTCTAAAAGATCAACACCCTGAGTGAGAATAATTGTACTGAGAGTGACTTGTTGTTTCCATCCTCAGTTGTGCTAAGACTATACTTTCAGGGATCATTTCTTTAGTTTTTGACTTGAGGAATGTGTTTCTAGCGTGTATGGTCTCGCTAACCACGATGATGAGTTGTGATATTCTCTTTTGAGCATGAAGCTGATGGAGTAGTGCTGTACTGCACACGTTCTCTGTCATGGATGATTGCTTATTGCTCTACTGTAGAGCAGTGAGAAAGGGAATATGTTCAGAGTGGCTCTAGAATAATTAAAGAATAAAACAAAAGTGTGTTTTTGGTTTGGTGATTACTTCCACATAGGTAGTTATGTGCTTTGGTCACAATCTAAGACGGTGTGACATTTAATGGTCATGTGAACAACTGCATCTGAAATGTGCGCTATTTATGATTTTGGGTCATTTTCAAATTTTAACTTTCTGGAAAACGATCACAGTAATGGCAGCAACAGATTTTGGATTGAGTAAATGGTATTATATTAAAATACTTTTACCGAGCATCAAGGCTCTCAAAACTGGATTTAAATGTTACGTAATCAACTTTAAAAGCAGCTTCATCTGAGCTAATGTTGCTGTAGTTACGTACAACAGTGATAATTCATTAACTTCTCATTAACTCAAGACTTTGGCCATGTTTGACAGCTGAGGCAAACTATGAGTGAGAGTAGTCCTGGGAATCGCTAGCTCTTTCTGCCCGCAGTTTTTCTAAGGCTATACTTTGAAGGATCATTCCTATGGTGTTTTATTTGATGTGTTTGTAGAGTGTATGGTCTTGCAAACCAACATGGTTTGCTATGATATTTCCATTGAAGTATGAAGCTGACAAACAGTCATGATTCTGTCATGTGTTTTTTGTCATTCATGATTGTTCTGTGCTTCTTTACAGAATTGAAGTGAGTATGATCTGAGTCGTTTTAAGAAAGCTGAAGAGGAAAACATTGTGTAACTGTTTTTCCAGACACTTGCCCTTTACTAATACCTGAAAAGTCATATGTGACTTCTGAGTTATTTAAATAAGACAGGCATTGAATTTATATTTTTGCAGAAACTTTTAGCCTTCAAAGTCTAAAATGCTTTACATGTTCTGCTGGGCTTTTGTTGAAAGTGTGTTGAATTTCTGTACTGTTTGTTTGGAAATGCCTCTGAGGGACAGAAAAAGGCAATTAGAAAGACAGTAATGATAGCAAGTAAGTTGCTGGGAATTGCATTACCAAGCCTAGAAAGCATTTACAGGGACTGTGTATGAAGTAAAGCAAAATAATATTGTGAGTGAACCATCCACTTGTCTCTTTTAAACTGATGCCATCTCCATGGTTTTATCATCCCCTTTTGTTGACAAAACAAAAACAGGTCCAAATTATCTTTTACTCCTATCAAATTTTTGAACACGAACAACATAAATGTTTCCAAATTGGTGTTGCCAAAAAATATTTTTATCAGTAGATTGATCTTGCTTTTGTGAAAGTTATAGTTCAATGTAGTTTTGATGAAGGGAATATGGTCTGAGTGGTCATAGAAAAGATTTAAAGATAAAAATAGTTTAAAGTGCTTAAAGCTCCGGTTTTTATCACAAGGGCTAAAAACACAGATGGTTGTCTCTTCTGGGCAAAAAGCAACTGTTTTAAATAATTTCACTTTGCCTTGTTATGGAGCATAAAGGAAGGAAATATGTTTTAAAGAAGGTTGGCTTTGGTTTTACAATTTCGTACTTTAAATGCACTTTAGTTTAAATCCAAACTTTTGAGCAAATGTTTGAGATAAAAATGTTTCAAAAGTATGTGATAAGAAGTGTTACATGTTCACCATGAATCGTGATCTTGGGGTGGGGGATCCAGCATGCCTTGGCCTTCTGCCCTGTATTTGATTCCCATATTTTAAGAAAAAAAAAATATGCCATGTTTGCTTGAATGGTTGGTAATTGTGTTGCATTATAATATGTATTAAATTATCTTTAAGAAACTGAAAGTTGATGGGCATACTCAAGAATTAACTTAAAGTTATGTTGACTTAGTTATGCTAGGACTGATAAGTACAATAATTTTTATCGTCACTATATATATACAGTGGAACTGGATGCAGTATTGTCAGTGCAAAGAATAAAATCTAAACTGTACACCTGACTATGATCAGTTGTGAGATAAATTATTGGGATATTTTTCAACCACCTTTGAAAACCTCTTTGAGTTTTGGAGTTTTTTGGAGTGTTTTGGTTTTTTAATATACTTTATGTCAACTTTAAAAATCATCATCATCATCATTTAGCAAATCACTAGGATCAAAACCCTCCCGGTACTCCTGTTGACTTTCTTCATCTCCCTGATATTTATTTGTTAACCTCTTCTTTTGAATACTTTCCTGCATTTCCATATTCACCGCAAAGCCTCCTTGTCTTCTTTTCTCTATCCAGAGAAAATACCAAAAACCATTTTGGCAATTTCCTTCACCACTTCAGCTCTACCACTTCCAGATATCTGGGAACTCTTCCCTACCACCCAGAGCCTGTGACAATTTTTCCCTGTGCAACGTTATTCCTTCTTAAGCTTCCACTATTAAATCCTTGTGTCTGCCTTCACTTGCTACTTCTTCTTGATTTCTCAAGTCATCCTACAGACTACCATCAAATTCTGCCTATCTACATTCTCACATTGCAGCTGCCTATTTCTTTCAGATTCCTTTTTAGCTACAGGTTTCTTGTTAGACTCAGAAATAACTGACAAAAAAGGGAGAAGACCAATGGTGAAATTGCTACTTTCTTCACACTTTAGAAGAATATGCATCCTAGAGGATGGTCAAAAGAGCTTGCAAAGAAAAGCGTCTGGACTTCTTTAAGTTACTTGAAGACATTTCACCTCTCATCCGAGAAGCTTCTTCAGTTCTAAGGTCAAATGGTGGGAGTCCCAGATATAAACCTAGTGGGAGTAACCCCCATAGATGGACATAGATGGCTTCTTTCAGAGGAGTGAAAGAAGCCATCTATGTCCACTGTGAGCGACCATCTTTGAACAGAGGCGGTGGTTTACGACACCAACTCTCTGCCATCTATAATCCAGTTTTGAGATCCCTTCCCAGACGCCTTAACGCCCACTCACATCCTGGGCCATCTGACCTCAGGAATTCGCATGATAAGGTGGGGCCAGGTTTCACAATGAACTCACCCGAAACTCTGGCTGATGGGGACCCACACCCAGTTTCACACCTTAGCTCAGGCGATTAGAGGATCATCAGGGGGTCCTTTTGTCCCTCTGTGGGGGGATACTCCCACTAGGTTTATATCTGGGACTCTCCACCATTTGACCTTAGAACTGAAGTAGCTTCTCGGATGAGAGGTGAAACGTCTTCAAGCAACTTAAAGAAGTCCAGACGCTTTTCTTTGCAAGCTCTTTTGACTACGATGACCTGGATGACTGAGAACCTTCACAGACATCCTAGAGGATGGATTTTAAAAACAAAAATTTGGAACAATATCTGAATGTGTGGGACAAGTGATAAAAATGTAGTGGAGTCCTACATAAAGAGGGACCCATGCTCACCCTAAAACGTTTTAACACCCACAAAATTATTATCATTATTATCATCATTACTAAAAAATTGCATTTTTAAAATGGTTTTGCTGCTTTATTCTTAAATCTCATATAGTTTATTATAAGGTCCAATCCCCAAAAATATGTTATTCTCATATTTTATTGTGAAAAAAGGTTGAAAACAGGAAGTTGCGCTCTACGTAGGCGTTTGCGTGACGTAACACGTAAATAAGTTGATCAAGCTGTTATTAGCTAGGTTGTTTTCTTCCTTTAGCCTTAATCTCTCGCATGATATTAATGACTGGGTGACATTTACACACAGCTCTTGGGAGATAAACCGGAACTGACACTTTAACCAACAAATGAGGATATGCCATCCGACTTTGTAACATATACAGAAAGTACACCTTGTGAGGACGAGAAACCGAGAGTCAAACAGCTAACAGCGGCCAGCGCCGCAAATCTCCACACCGTGTACCGCTCATGCTGACTTTCTCTTCCATTTCTTCTTCGTTTTTACTCGGCCTTTAGATTCGCCAAGTCCGGTCAGTGGTTTCTCCAGAAGAGAATGAACTGGTTTTTCCCAACCTCCAAAGGCTCTGGATCTCTCCCTCCTCTGAACAGCTTACAGCAACAGAGACAGCGGCAGATCGAGTCCCTAAAAGCTGCCCACCCGAGGTAATAACGATCCGTCACCCCAAAACCCGACCCGTGAGATTGTTTTATGGTCACCACGATGTTTCCTGAACATTTTAATGGGGTTAAATAGAAAACACCCTCACTCAGTTTACCAACACACCTGCTGTTTACTTCTCAGAGCTAGCTACTTCTCATAGTTAAGTTAAAAGTACCTCATGCTAGCAACCAACTTTTCGTTTATTATCGACCACATTTATCCCATCTGTTCTCTAAATATTCAAATTATGTAATACTATTTTAGGTAAACCCACTTTTGTGAAGCCCCTTAGTCTGGTTTGTAAGCTAATCTTGCTAGCCTTTTCTCATGGCTAATTAGCGCGTGCTATGTTAGCATTAAATGACAGGGTCTATTTTTAGGGCTCGTGGCTGAACATGTCCTGTGGTCATGTGTTTGCCATGCATGTAGTTTTAAAATGAGCTTGTTACTGAGAAGTGGAGATTAAAGTATTAGCCTTTGTTTATCAACGAATGTTTCCAGCGTAAGCCACCATAAACCCACTGTTGTGGTTCATTTCTTGAGGAGTCACAGTCTTCTATCTCCTAATGCGAATTATGCCACGTGTGTGACAAAGAAAAGGGATTACACAGTTTCTGAGAAGGAACCAAGCATATCAAATGCAGATCATGTGCTTTTAGATGCTATGGAGCTCTGTTGAATGCTTCTCATATGATGACACTGATGTTACTAGGTGTAAGGTTAAGGTTTTCTACACGCTGCTTTGACATGGTAATTGATTTTTTGGGGTGCTGACTGTTTAAACCCCTTATATTGACTTCCGGACCAACTTCAACATGAACCTTCTTTGCCCTATTTTTTCAAGTTGTGATTTTATAAACAGTGTGGCATTACAATTATTCCATCATTTCACTGGTGCAGTTTATCTGGTGAAACTGCAGTTATTCAGATAAATAGTGGTATCAGCAGCATTAGAGGCAGTGGAAGGGAAAGTTCATTATTATCAGACACTGACAGACACTTGTGTGTGATTTTAAAACCTAACATGTCAAGTGTATTAATTGCTCTTTTTTGTGAAACAACTTTTTTTTCTCTACCTTTTCCCCAACGATCAACTACTAAGTACCATAAATAGATTGCATTTACTTATTCATGAAAACTATGTTCACCTTCTGTGCCATTTAATCCCTCACCGACAGAATTTGTTGGGTGAGGATAAATACTGAATCTATCATTTGCTCTTCAAACTAGCAGAATTTCATAAACCTTGACCTTAGGTGTATAATTCTTCTTTTGCATCTTCTTTTGATTGCATGTTGATAAATCTTCAAATTTCTGGCCCTGTTCCTGTTTTACAGCCTTGCAGAAATCCAGAAGGATGTGGAATACAGAATACCATTCACAGTCAACAATTCAACCATTAGTGTTAACATGTGAGTACATTTATACACCTACCAGGTGGGGTCAAAAAGTTCTAATTGTATGGCTGTGAAAACAAAGAGCCTTACCTAAGCTCACATTGGAGGTCATTTTCTCATATACATCTGGCTGCTTTTTTTTTTTAGATCTCTCACTACTATCATTATATTCTCTTGCATTTCTGCTTGGTTTTTATTTTCAGTAATTGCATTGAACTTTGCACTGGGAGTCTCACACCATTGGGTAATGATAATAGCATCTCATGTACCGCATTGCCTTCAGGCTTGGAGACTGTGGACTGCAAACTGCTGTATTGTT